TCTCTTCTCAGTAGTGCAGAAGTGACGAGAAGTTTGATCTGTGAAGCAAGTAAAGGTTAGGTTAGTTAAGTGCGAGCATATCGAAAGTACGAGAGTCGGTAATGAATTACAAAATATTCATTAAATGTTAATTTAGAATTCGAAACGTATCATGTCTGCAATGAAATGTATATGAAATTAACGTAATTCCAGCACTGATTGTCTACAATGCTCAATTAGGCACACACCTTTACCGCAGTTCGTTGCTTTTGTGAATTCCTCGGCTGTCAAAACTGTCAGATTATGCCAGATAGCCCGCTCGGCGCTGGGGAGACGCGGCGCTCGGGAGACTCGGCGCTGGGGAGACGGAATCATATTGGACATACGCTAAAAACAATATTAGGGATACGGCTGATTGAGAAATACTTTAAAGGATACAATAACTAATAGTTCCCTAAAAAGCAATTAGATCCATAACTCGAACAGAAGAAACAGGTAACTCATTAATACCACTCTCTTAACCCATCCCCAAAATTACTGTTATCTCGCTCTATATTTAAAAATCCATTGTCATACGTTTATCGCAATCCAAATGTCAAACATGGTGATTTCATTTAATGAAGAATACACGTGGGGCGATGGTGATCCAGTTCTACCTGTGTTGTCTGTCTAGTAGAGTCTAGATTCTGGGTTTGCTAGTCCTTTGTGACGAACAGTTAAATGTACTACTATGGATAAAAAGTATTCGAGCTATCTAATCGTTAATAATGTAGGCTATAATTGTAAAGGCGTTTGTAAACAGCTTGTGCTTGTACAACCGGGCACCTGCGGACAGGCTACTACAAGCAGCGGTGTTGTTGTGTACGTATGTTAGTGTCTGCGAAATTGCAGGATCCGTGTAATTGAAAAAATTAATAAGTCGGAGAATTTCGATTATAGTAAATACGAAGTCTATGAATTCATTCAGAACGCACTTTGCTGCTTTTAGAGAATTTCCCATATAGGGAAAGAGCTATTACCGTAGTACTCATGGTAAACTCGAGTAGTAGTAATTATGGTAGTAGTAAACTCATGGTAAACTCGAGACCACTTTACTTTTTCGTTTTGAAAAACCCCCAGAGGCAGAGGTCATAAACACCAATTAATATTTACTATATACAATCACATTTAATATATTAAATGTGTCCGTTAGCACGATAACTCGAGAAAATATCATCTCATTTTGATTAAATCCATACAAACGTGTGTACTACCATAGTAAAAATACCCCCGCCGCAGCAAACCTGCAGACTAAGCGAATTTCAACTCGTCTGATTACATTTTTACTAAAATATTTCCATAAATAAGACATATTATTCCCTATTTAAATAACATTAGATTTAACGAGTGCTTAGGTTTGCTGCTACGGGGAAGGTAAAAAGTGTTTTTTGACCATACGTCAATAGTATAGGATGAAATAAATAAATTTGCCGAATTTTATCAATATATACCCATAAACAAGTAAACTACAACAATTTTCATTGTCTCCATAAGAATAACATGGGAATTTTTAATTACACTATTTTTGAATTTTCTCCGTGACCGTTAGGCATACAACAGCGCTTCAATATACTAAATTATTTCTTTTTTTAAGCTCTACAAAACGGTTTAGAAAGAAATCGCAAAACTTTTTGTTTTTAGGTTCAAAAATGGGAAAAACCCATTTTTACCCCATAAAACCCCCCATAAACCCCCGTTCCCATGGTCCGATTATGCTGGATCGCGAACTCGTTCGAATAAACGTAGGTTCACGTTTGTACCAAATTTCATCAAAATCGGATCATTTTTGCTCGAGTTATCGCGCTAACGGACACATATATATATAAATATATATATAAATATATATATAAATATATATATAAATATATATATAAATATATATATATATATATATATATATGAATTTGAACGGATGGTGTTTTTGGCCTCTAGGGACCTCAAAATGAAAAATTAAATCGGTCTCGGGTCCAGGTCTTACCATGAGTACTACGGTAATAGCTTATTCCCTATATGGGAAATTCGCTAACATAGTCCATTAGTAGATTTCCCATCCTTATGGAACAGCTGAAGCCAATTTTATTGTTGGTTCTGTCCGGTTTTCTGTAGATGTCGTGTTTTGTTTACGATTTGTTTCATGTTATTTCGTTAATTTAAAACCTCGTTTAACCAAATAGTATCTAATCATAAACAATAGCTATTCCACTAGCTACTCTGTATAACCATAGATTAAAAGAAGTAGACATACTAGATATGTAGATATGTCTATACTCCTTTTATCGATGGAATAACAAAACAGTGAGACACAAAATAATGAGAAACTAACCCTAAAATAATAGATATAATACTAAGGGACTATAGTAATACCAGAAACAAAAGAACCCTGGGCCGTTTCGAGCCGCGCAGGTTTGAATGGTACGCCACACCTACCGGCGCGAACCAAGTGATCTTTTCGTTTCTGCGCAGGTTGTTTTTTTCTTGGTATGTTAGCGAATTTCCCTATAGAGAAGTAGCTATTACCGTAGGTCTCATGGTAAGACCTAGGCCCGGGACCTATTTACTTTTTCAATTACCAATTTTTACAATTTTGGTGTCCCCAGAGGCCAAAAACACCATTCGTTCAAATTTGTATATATGTATATATACTTTATTAGTTTCCTCGTAGCAGCAAACCTAGATACTCGATAAACCTAATGTTATATAAATAGATTTAATTGAAAATCAATTCAGACGAATGGAAATTCGCTTAGTCGGCAGGTTTGCTGCGGAGGGGGTATTGTTGTCTTGGGGATTGTTTTTTTACATTATTAGGAAAGATTTTGGGGTTACGGCATTATCAATAGGATAAATCGATTTTCGATTTGGCGAGATTTGAACCCGGAACCTCAGGGACCGAAGTCCCGCGCTCTACGAGTAGACCAGCTCGATCCCCTATAATTGTACTATGTCTAATAGGTACGACAAAATTCAAAAAACTATAAATTTTACTGTTTTTATCCTGTGTTAATCTTATAATAAGCCAACTGTTGTACAGAGGCGGTTCTAGGACCTTGTCAAGGGGGGGTACCCGGTCACGGGACATCATCGTCCTCCACGATCACGGTAAAAATCGGCAATTTTTAACGCACATCTTCGTAAACGCTCTCCGCGGTTTCGAAAATTGCGCTCGGTTCGGCTCGACTTGATCTAAACTTGGACTCATTTTCTGCTCGTACGGATCTCTCGTACCAACCGTTGGTCCGACCACACCCAAATATATAGAGTACCCGCAGACCGGCAGACCCCTATCTTGGGGACTAGGAATCCGAGAAAACTACTATAGATTTTCTGTCGGGAAATCTGAAAAAACTAATGACGTTTTTCTTGGAATTCTGCCAAATATAACCTGCCCTTAAAAATTTACACTATGCCAGTGGCACGTATTTAAATTTTTAAAACTATGCAACATTATACCGTAATTGTCTGGGTATAGCCGAGCGGTTATAGTGCTCGCCTTCAAATCTGAAGGTCGATGGTTCGAATCCAAAGCGAGATCGTTTCCAGACCCAGATGTCATTAATTTGTCATTGGACAATGAAGTAATGGTGCTATCTAAGGCAGATTAAATATTAAGTAAAATATTTTCTATAATGATTATTATCATTATCAATTGAGATGGGCGTTCCCAGTGTATATAGAACTAGCTGTACCCACGGGCTTTGCCCCGTTTTACTTCATAAGTGAGCTCGTTCGCATGGCTCAATTACGTCCTGGTTGAAGTTCGTTCGCTACGCTCACTCACCTATTGGTTGGAGCTCGTTCGCTGCGCTCACTTGCCTTCAGGTTAGCTCGTTTGCTACGCTAACTCGCCTTCAGGTTGAAGTTCGTTCGCTACGCTCACTCACCTTTTGGTTGCAAATTAGCTGTAGTAAATAAATTTAAAAAATAGTGCTGCACCCTGTTGGTAATCCTTGTAACTTAAATGCTATTGCACATCATAGAAAAGAACCAACTTGTTTAATTGAAACAGCTGTTAATATTCATTAATTCCATTTAAATATGAGTACTCATAAGGTTAACATGGGAAACTCCAGAGCCACTGGGGCGGAGCCCGAGAGTCCGATCAGAATAAAAATAGCTTAGTTTTCCTATTTAATGCCTAAAGAATCAGTGTACCAAATTTCAGCCTCCTAGGTAAATGGGAAGTGGGAGAATTAGTGATGAGTGAGTGAGTGAGTGTGTCAGTGAGGGCTTTGCCTTTTATATATTTAGATAATACCCCCACCGCAGCAAACCTGCTAGCAGACTATAAGAGAAATTCCATTACCTCCCCCCCCCGCCCGGGGGGCCTCCCACCCAGCTTAATGCTTCTACAGTACTAAAATATTCCCTATAAATTGTCAGATTTATTTCACATTAAAAAAAACATAAATTTTAGTGAGTTTACCAAAGTGGAAGGTGATATTCTGAAAGAGAATAAAATTTCCTACAAATTGATACCATGCACTTCTTGGAAATATTAAAAAATGGCAGCTAAAAGTCGCGCCGAAATAAAAATTGTGAAAAACGCCGTTTTCAATGTATTTCTTATGGAAAACACGTTTTCTTAAATTTATCACCATAAATAATAACAAAAACAAACTTTCATAATTATTTGCAAATCTACACGACTTAAGCTTTCCAACGACCCATTAATTAATAAAATCGGTCCAGTAGAACTCTAGATTTAGTTGTACAAAGATTTTTAAAACTGAATTATATATAGAATAGATGAATTATATATAGAATAGATTTTCTTTGTTGTATTTATCACTGATCTGTGTTTTGGCTTTGTAATCTTTTATGTCAAAGAAATAAACATTGTCTTAAATTATAATGCAAACAGTCCTAGTATGGCATTTAAAAAACTACTTTGACGTGGATAGGTTGGTCACACTGAAGAAGAATGTCTGGACTGGATGTCTGGTAAAGATCAATGTTGAATTGAATGTTGTGTTGTGTTACGCAGCTGACCATTACAGCTGATCACGATTACAGCAAAAGCAAGAGAAGATTGTTGATTTATTTTTCTTATCTCAAGAATAGTAATTTACGAGTGATTGTCTTTAATGTTTATTAGTTTAAATTTGCTTAATGCATCTATAAAGAGAATTTCAACTAATGCTAGTCATTTTAAGATACCATTTGATTTGCATTAGAACCACGTGTAGGTATTTTCGATGTGAATAGATCTTTGGTGTTTTCGCAATTTTACCCCTTGCTTGCCTTTGTGTATGAAGTTCAGCAAGTAAACAAACGCAGTAAGCAACAAAGGATTATGGATTCGGTTTGTTTTGAGTTACTGTGACAAGTTAAAGTTAGCCATTTATTTCGTTTGTATAATATAAACTGTTCATGAAGCTTTGGTTAGGCTAAAAGGATTATTCTAGGCCTACTAACAGGTAAGCATCCTTAATTCTTACTAAGTTACTGCACGGATTAAGATAGCCTAAAGCGCAGTTATTCTAGCCTATGTCTATCTTTGGTCATGTAACTTTGATTTAATCTCTAATTTTAATTTTTGTAGTCTCGAGTCACTTGGTTAATTACCTTAAGTTAAATAGGTACCGTCCTTATGACTCTTATCATAACTCATAACTCATTTATTGAACCAAAATAACATATACAAAATTTGCATTGGTCATTTCAATTAATAGCTTAGACTAAATTAAAAATAAACAATAAACAATGGTGCTTCAATAAAACTAGCCTATTACTAATAACTTATTATACTTCTTTCAAAAAAACTAAACTAAACCAACTAAGTTAAACCCATAAGCGACACAATCTCGAACACTGTGTAGTAACCCTTGGCCAAGACTTATTTTTTTTATTTGCTTTTTAAAGCTGTTCAAGTCCGACTCCAGCTGAAGGGAGGGAGGTTAAAAAGTTTAATGCCATTGTAATGGAAGTATCTCTTGAAAAATGTAACTTAGTTGAATGAGATGGCAATTTAAGATGAGAATTGTTACGTACTGACTGGAATGTGTAAGTGAAGATCGATATTGGTGTAGTTTTTTTTAATGAGAATCAAAGTTTCCAAAATGTGTATTGAGGGAAATGATAAAATTTGTGATTAAATCAAGTATTGATGACTATGTAATCACGCAGACTAGAAAGGCTTGCAAGCGCTCTTCAAGGCGCTGTTCAATGCAATGGTATAGGGACATCGGCGTTCGGCAACTTCGTATCGAGAAATCCGAGCTGAGGTAGAGCGCATTATACTAGGCCTACTAACTTACTTAAGTACGGTACCGAAACATGTGTTCCAAACAAATATTTCCTCATGTTTGAAACACCCTTTGATCTTTACAGACTTATTGTGGGAAAAAAACATTTCTGTTAAGTATTAATTAACTTGAACACTAAAAAACTGTTCTTACATCAAAATGTTTCTTCTAAGAAAGTAAGTTAGTGTTTTTTGGTTTGTTAAGAACATTTGTTGTAAACATAGCTGTTCCTTAAACTCTGGTGTAAACGCGGCTTAAGATAGGGAAGCTAGGCTGAAAATGTTTAATTCAAATTCAAGACCATTGCCACTTTACTTGACGTCCTACACTCATTCGATAGTTTTTTCGATTCGATATTTCATTCGATTGTTTCATTCGATATATCGTTTGGTTAGTTAAAGGTTAGGTTAACCTTACCTAACTAACCAAACGATATATCGAATGAAGCAATCGATTAATCGATATATCGATCGATATTTTCATTCGAATGAGTGTAGGACGTCAAGTAAAGTGCAGCCCATGTTTTTTCTGGTTTGCTGATGTGTGTTCACTGTGTAGCCTAAGTTAGAGCCTAGGCCTTAATCAATTTTTGGTAGGCCTACTTTCCTGTTGAAGGAAACATTCCATATTATCGATGATTTTTTTTGATATTTATTTTTTGATCAGATTAGTAGGCCTATCGACTTAACCAAATTGAAACATAGGCCTATCAGCTGCCAACAACGATAAATAAATTTTTTTCTGTAGGTCTAGGCTATCAAAATTATATTGGAATGACACCGTTCTAAACTAACCAAACATAACTAAGTAACCAAAATTTGCTGTTACATTAAAAAAATTCTGTTTGATATTCTCCACTTGCCTTTTCTGTTATCAAACGGAATTTTGAAATGGTAGGCCTACAGCAAGTTTGGTTAGTTATGTTAGGTTAGATTATAAAACAGTTTCATTTCTTAATCCTATAGCCTATATTATTTTAGCCCAAACAAGATCAGTTGTCAATTTGTAATTTAAATGTGTTTGAAGATATTAAAAGAGAAGTAGGGTAATATGGATCAAAAAGGAAAACAAAATTATCGTAATGTGAAAATCAATCACAGTTAAATTTGTTACTTAATAGCAAATCTTATTAGTGTTAGCATGTATTTAAAAGTCTACCTACTTAAATACGGCTTACGATTATACTTGGATGCTGGTATCTGGGAGGTTAGCGGGGTATTAAATCAAATGGGGGTATTTAGAGTCAAGGATGCCATCGTCGGATGCTATTAAAGCCACTGTTTGCACGATTTTGTGCATCCCAGTTATTCATCTCACAAAAATCTATTATGTATAATGATGTAGGCCTACCTATGAGAAGCGTTTTGTATGTAAGATATAACTACCGGTACATTTTTTATCCAACAAATTTATGTTAGTCTATTATTATAATGTAATTCAATTTGATCTTGCACAACTGCAAACAATGGGTTTCAGCACTATGCATAGCTTTTAAATCAGATATGGTTTAATAATAAGTGTTAGGTAGTACAAACAGAATCATGATTACTTTTCTACGAGGTTATAGGCCTACTGACCACAACAGGTTAGGTTGGATGGTAAATCTTTACACTTCGTACACATGGCATTTTAAAGACCTAAAATGTACGGGTCGCCGACATTTTATTCCCCTGGAATTTTACCCCCGAACATAGCTGAGGTTACTATGACGTAGTAACCTGAGCGCATTCAAGTTTGTTCACAGGTAGAATTATACCCCAGTTGATTTGGTAGTCCAAAGAAAATAATGTATATATTGAGCGTGATAAATTTGATTAGCAAGAAAGCCGGAATTTTACCCCCAGACCTTTAACTAGTGTTTTTATAGCCTACAACAGTAGATGTACGGCCCAGAATTTTACCCCATAGCCAGATAAGTTAATCTATCCTAGAAATTTGTGAGAATAATTAGTTTTGTACATAATTGGCGTTTTTAGAGGATGAAGTTTAGACAGTTGACAATTATTTACTGCTGTTCATATAAAATGACAACTAAAACTGAGGGTCACTAGTTCGAATCTTGGAATTTTCAAATGTAAACATATGTCATGTTATAAATTATTTTTAAGGTATTTATTAGACAAACATTTTGGCAAGAATATAAATTAGGCCTAATTATCTTATTCCGTTTCAAAATGGCAGCAGTTTTTTTTGGGGAAAAATCAATATGTTTTTAATACTCTGTGTTTCCTAAACCAATGTACTTAGCCGTTTGCCTTTTCTTACTCGTTGTGAAATTAGCTTTACTGTGATATGCTACAAGTAACAGTTTTTTTTAAATAATAAAGATTCCAAAAAATTTGGATTTTTTATTACCTATCCAAAAAGATTTTTGAAAATTTGCAAATGCCCACTGTCCAAAATTTTTAAATAGAAACATATGTCAAGTGGCACATCATTTTATAGGTTTTTTTTAATTCTTAACAACTTTGTAATTTAAACTTACTTCGTATCTCTTTTAGGTTTTGTGTAAATAGAACCTTTTTTAGAATTAAAAAAACCTATAAAATGATGTGCCACTTGACGTTTGTTTCTATTTGAAAATTTTGAACAAGAGATTTGAACTAGTGACCCTCTGTTTTTGGCTCACCTATTGGAAAAAAGTTATCAAAATTTTTACGTTATTCTTCGGGGTCGACTTAGCTGGAAATAGTTTTATTCCATCCTTGTACGTTAAGCCGTTTTCCCGTGATCAATTTGAGACAATTTACGTGGGACACCTGTATAATCATAAAAAAAATATTAACTCATAGAATCATCAAGTTTATAGAGGCTATGAAAGTTCAGTTAGTTCATTAAATTTCTTGCTCCTACTATTTCAGGACAGAATTGTTTATCATAAGAAAAAGTATTAGCCTGTACAAAAGTAAAATTTAGGATACACAAGTTTATTGGTTGTTAAAGGGTGATGATAACAGTAGATATCTCTAAAAACTAATTTTTTTCATGATCCTTAGGGTACCTAAGTTAACTAAATGTCAACTTGTCGTTATGTCTTACTTACAGAATACATTTTTTTAAACAAGTTATATATTTAGATGGGTTTGATTATTACAAAGATTAAGTTGTAAACTTGGTATTTTTTATGTATCATAAAATTTATATAAATTTCTTAAGCATCTAATTATATAATAATAAACAAAATTAAATAAGCTGTAGCATGTTGATGGTAACTTGCATGCTATTAGTGTTTATTTACAACCAAACTTATTGTCAGGCTTTAGGGCCAAACCTATTGTTAACCCGCACATGTTATAAACCTAGAGTGTGTCCAAATCTTGTTTCCTTGTTAGTTTTCCTGACTATGGTGGCGGTGGAATAGTTATGATTTATTTAGTAGCTGTCCGTCACTTGTTTGGTTTCCTTGACAGTAGTGTTGGTAACTGTATATGGGTCAGGTTCAGTTACCTGCATGATGTAACGTGCACAAACCGTGGCTGCTAAACACGAGAGCCTCAAGGTCATTAACCTACAGGTTCAAGGAACCACTGTTCATGTTAAAACATACCTTTATCCTTATTTTATAGATTTTGCATTGATTTGAAGAATTTGTTTGAACAAGTAAACTACAACAGTTGTAATTTTCTCCATAAGAATTACATGGGAATTTTAAATTACCCTATTTTTGAATTTTCTCTGTGGCCGTTAGGCATACAACAGCGCTTCAATATACAAAATTATTTTTTTTAAGCTCTACAAAACGGTTTAAAAAGAATTTGCTAATTTTTTTGTTTTTAGGGTCAAAAATGGGAAAACCCCATTTTTACCCCATAAACCCCCGTTCCCATTGTCCAATTATGCTGGTTTGCAAACTCGTTCGAATAAACGTAGGTTTACACGTTTGTACCAAATTTCATCAAAATCGGATAATTTTTGCTTGAGTTATCTCACTAACGGACGCACACACACACACACACACACATTTGAATGGATGGTGTTTTTGGCCTCTAGGGACCTCAAAACAAAAAATTAAATCGATCCTGGGTCCAGGTCTTACCACGAGTACTACGGTAATAGATTATTCCCTATATGGGAAATTCGCTAAAAAGAACTCATTAGAAATGTTCTATTATGAGTTTTTACGTATCTTAACTATCATAAAATATTCTAAACCTAAGAAATTAATTATATTTATAGAAAGCCAGTGTTTCGTAGCCAGAAATGTCTTGCGTGTAGTGGTTCAAACAAGACAATTATGCCCAACCAACCATAACAGTGGGAAGTCCAGTGGAACAGCGGAATTCCTTGAGACGGAAGGTCAGGGCCCAGGTATTGCACTCTGCCCATTTCTGTTGTGCCTGGAATGGACAAGCCTAGCCTGTGTGTCAATAATAGGCACTTTTCATTGCTATTGGCTAATCAGAGGCGCACGGCTTTGTAATTTCCTTTGTTCAGGTTCCGTTAATGTTTAAAACATTCTGTAAGGTTTTTTCAAAGAAACATTGACCTACTTCAGTAAATCTTCTTCCTACTTGAGAACGTAAAATTTGTGGCACTTTTTGTGTGCACTTTTTAAACTCGATTAATCAAAGACGTTTTTGTTCTTAAGGACTTCTCAATAGAAACTGTTTTAAAGAATTACTTTTGACGTACAATTAATAAAACAAATACAAAGACACAATCATCTACCGTATTAACTTTAGCTTAAAACACATTATTAATTAGCCTAAATTAATTGTGAATATTTGAGATGAATTAAGCCATGAAAGCCTTTTTTATCGTTACGGTGTGACATTTTTTTTACTAATAGTTTACACCTAAGACAGATCTAAACTAATCTCTTTCAATGTTCACTAAAACATATTACGTTTTTAGCTATAACGGATGAATAAGCATTAGATGAATAATTAAACCTTACAATCAATTTTTCCGGACATGTAATTGAATCACGCTGTCTTTGTTTGTGTTTATTTTAATTTAATGATCCTGGCTAATAAACCCTCTGGTTTTATAGAAAACGTCTTGTTCTGTTCTACACCCACCAAGCTTAATTTAGCATAACAGTTTCAATGAAGAAAATGGGTTAGTTATCAAAATGTGGTTAGTTGTGCTTGTTTGACTTGATAATTTGAAATTGAACCTGCTTTGTGTGGAACAGCTGGTGTACCACCATATTGAGCTTTTTGTGTGGATTAAGATACGCCTCAGTGAGGCTTGCACACCAGGCCTGAAGGCTATAGGAGGCAGGTGCTGTCATAACTAATCCAAAGTCAAGGGCCGGCTTGGATTGCCTGCCTTTGTGTTCTAGAATACTGAATGCTGAGTGTCCTGTGGCAATATGTAACAAAAGATTAATATTGGAGGTATGGGTGTTCCCTACTCTATTATAAACATGACAACAGACAAACTTTGAATACCTTTAAAACATCGTAACATTAAATAGTATCTCAGAGAATTGCATTTATCAGTACAAAAACGTTGAAATACTCAGGTTGTGTATGTTTTATAAATTAATTTTTAACAGGCTCTTCCAAAAGCATGACCATCATAGTTTGTCATTATGAACAGTTTACGATTCACAATCAAACTTTCAGAGAATTTTCCTTATAGGGAATAAGCTATTACCGTAGGTCTCGCAGACTTAGACTCAGGAGCAATTTACTTTATCGTTTTGAGTTCCCCGAGGCCAAAAACATCCTTCGTTCAAATTGATATACGTCACATTTTAAAGCATATAAAAATTATGGAACTAGCAAAAATACATGTGAGTTATTATTATTAATAAATAATTAATTGGTAATTATAATTAATAAATTACAATTATTTATGCGATTGGAGATTTCCGTAGGCACAAAACTAATAGCGATTAAATAATAAAATAGGTTGTTCATTGCTTGTGTAAAAATAATATATTCAGTAGTACAGTATTTTAACTTAGGCTCATGTTAGCTATACATTTTTTTACAATATTTACCAGTGTTTTTGAAATCTGTAAGGTGATTTTTTTTTCAAACAGTTCTATTACAATGAGAAGGTAAATTAAGATTAATGGTTTTATAGATCATTTTTTTATATTTAATTTGGTATATTTCTGCCATAAAGACTGTACTTAGTAGTGACAGTAGTTTTCAATACACTGTGAAATGTGGATCATAACCATTATCTATTCTAGGCTAGGCATTTGTAGGTCAGCTAGATAACAGAATTAAAATACTAGGTTTGATATTTGATATGAACAGAGATAGATTGTACACACAATACTGAAATGTGTAATGTATAGTCAATCCCTTTGGGAAAACATCATTAGCCTATCTTAGAAAATAGATGCAATTTATAAATCACAAATTTTAGTCACATTTTTCATATTTTCAATTCTTTAAAACAAATGATAAACTTAGAGTCAGAAGCTTTAAGCGAATTTCCCATTCCCATATAGGGAATAAGCTATTACCGTAGTACTCGTGGAAAGACCTGGACCCGGGACCAATTTACTTTTTTCGTTTTTAGGTCCCTAGAGGCCAAAAACACCATCCATTTAAATTTATATATATGTGTGTGTCCGTTAGCACGATAACTCGGGCAAAAATGGTCCGATTTTGATTAAATTTGGTATAGACGTGTAAACCTACATTTATTCAAACGAGTTTGGGAACCAGTATGATCTGACTATGGAAAGGGGTGTTTATGGGGGGTTTTATGGGGTAAAAATTGGGGTTTCCCTTAAAAAAAACATACACTTTAGCAATTTCTTTACAAACCATTTTGTAGAGCTTAGAAAAACAAATAATTGAGTATATTGAAGCGTTTTATTTGCCTAATATTTAAAAAGAAAATTCCAAACAAATTTTAATTTAAAATTCTTATGTTATCCTTATGGAGAATTAAGTAAACTGTTGTAGTTTGCTTGTTAATGAACATATTTTGTTCAAATTTGGAAAATGCATTTATGTCTTACTAAACCATTATTTTACAAAATAAAAACACTTTTACCCTCCCTGTTGCAGCAAACTTAAGTATTCCTTAAACTAATTGAATTAAAATAGGGAATAAATGGGATATTTTTAAGGAGACATTTTAGTGTAAATCCAATCAGGCATATTTAAATTTGCTTAGTCTGCATGTTTGCTACGGCGGGGGTATTTTGATGGTTTGAAACTGGACTGAGCTATCATTGATAATTCTGCGTTTAATAAATGGTAAGCTAAGAGACTCATGATGAATCAAATGATGACACATTTTTGTCCAGCGTAACTTTAATGGGATTGTTTTGTTAGCGTCTGTATAATTTAGATATCCTATGTTGGTACATTATGAAGAAGATTGCAAGTGTTGTCATAGGCCTATCCAGTAAGCATTGGTCTGCCTCGGTCTATGTAAAAGGAGAGATTGTGCAGTTGTAGTTTTATGGACTTCCTGGTATTTCTCTTTGTTCTGAACATGAACACATGTCTACTGTAACATGCTCTCTTTTAATTGCTTAGTCATGTAACATTGCAGTTGTATTTTTATAGCATAAATTCTATGTGTAAATAAAATTGTGGACATATGTTAGTTAAAAGGAAATTTTTGAATGTTATGGAAATAGATTAACTTATTGTTGTGCTCGCAGCCAATGAATAAATTAGTGCAGGATGTGAAACTAATTAGTCATTAGCTTTAGATAATTGTAGCCTACTGCTGAGTTAGGTTTCAATCTTAATGTTTGATTTTTAAATTTAATTAGCCTAATAAAAAGAAAACAAAGTTTAAATATATAATGTTTTTAAAATATCTCCTAAGTTAAAAAAATCCTGATTATCCATACGGCACAAGGGTATTAAACTAAAAAAATCAAATATTTAGTAAAAGCCTTAATACTTATTTTTTTTTTAGTATTTGTTAGAGAAAACTTTAAATTCAACATAACATCTTTATTTTTTAATTTTCTACACACATTTTTCATCATTGTAAAGTATTCTGCATCACCCACAACAAACATTTTCAAACAATCCTTCTACTATTTAAAACGGTTCTAATTATCTGATTCTTTTAAATCTTTCAGGGATTTTTGTTTTGCATCCTGCAAAAAAGTAGAACACCTTCCTTGTATGTCTCTTTTGAGACTGGAAAACAAAATGGAATCCGACAAACTAGATCCGATGAAAAGCGCAATAGGTCTCATGCTGTTTTGTTGAACATAGGGTGTGAGATGTAGGGCCTTTACATAGGGTGTAGGCCAGCGGGTTGTCAAATTTATGCAGCTACGCTCCCCTGCGTATTACATTAATCTAGCCCAGACTTTATAATAGTCTACATATACCTACTGAGCTATATTATTTCCCCGTGGTAAGGTTCTCACACAGCCCTTCTTAAATCTTTGGGGAAAAACCTAATTTTGTCAACTTTTGAAGTCAAGGGATATCCTAAACAGGGTTCAATTAATATTTATATTTTTTTACATGAAAACTAGGGTAGCATCCCCATATGCAGTCTCTAGAATCACAATGTCTAGTTTCCAAGGCACCGCTCTAACAGGATACAAATTCTGACATCAGTGGTTTGTTCAGGACTACGAACAAATTTTTGTTGTTAAGTAAAAAGTTGTTTCCAAGAAAACTCTCACGAGCACTCACATGTGCCAAAGGGGTGATACACTTATAGACACAACGTCGCACACTGACACACGTGGCATGACTGTAACGGATACCTGGTTGAACAATGGGTTTCCCCATATGTCCTCCCCTCAAAATCTTATTCCCTTTTACTTTCCTCTTGTAATTTTTTAATGAAGTACACTCTGAAAAACCTCTTAGAATGTTTGCAATGTCTCTAATTGACAACCTAGATCAGCCTTGATCTAGTTCAGCAAGTAAAATGTTAAAATAATGTGATGACTGTGCAGGTGTGCTGAGTGAGGGGAGAGATGGTCAGTATGAGCTCCACTCTGGTGGAGACTGTCTCCATCAACTATGAGGACTTCAACGAGAGCTTTCTCACCTGCGGCACGTGTTTATGTGAGTTTGCTAGCGTTACGTTTAGGTGATTTTTATTTTATGTTTTTCTTTGATAGACCTTTAGATATACGGTGTAAACATTCACCCAATATACAGCTTTCAAGAATGTCTGGGCTGATCTATGTAAATGTATGACAAGCGTAACAAACTAACATTTTTTATATTTTTTATTTTAATTTAAAAAGTCCAGTTGGTTGCCAGTGAAACCTTCCGTCTTTCTTCTTGATAGGAACTGTTGGCGTTTGTGTTCTCAACATTTAAATGAGCAAGAGCACTTTTGTTGACAAAAACATTGTCAGTGTTCTCTGTGTTTCAAAATATTTAAGGCTATCTAAAAGTTGCGTTTGCCCCTGGAGATTAAAATATAGGACATTTACACACCTCCTTTGGTGCAGTTTTAGACATGATTGTTTTTTTTTTAATGCGGTGTTGAACACATTTTGTTCCTGATTCATGGAATAAAATGTTTAATGATGATGACTCATACAAATTTTTGTCACGTATATGCATGGGAAGAGTAATTTAATTTTTAAAACATTTCACAGAGCTCCACTTCAAGGTTTTGAATCGCCTTACCATTCTCCTTTGTTTTAACTGACATTTGTGATGTTGAATTATAACTAACAGCTGTTTTTGGGACCACCAATAATAGGCAGTAATAATAATCAGTGTTAGTAATATAAATGAATTGATTATAACTGGTGTCACCACTCTGTGTTTAAAAAGTGTACCACTATTTTCGCTGTTTATCGTGTTGTTATGATGGCCATATGTTTGATTGGTTGGTTAGCTGTCAAATTCATTCCAATCATTCCAACTGTTTTTCTATTATCAACAACTAATTATTGCACGTTAAAACCTGTTTGTTTAAATTAATTTTGAAACATTATAAATTGTTTAATACTTAATTTTGACTTAGTTTAATCTTGCCAGTTCAATGTATTTGTTTAACAATATTGACATATATTTGTTAACTAACAACAACAGGATGACACCATCTTGACGCTTATTTGACAAGTCCAACCAACCCGACACAGTGTGACCAACAAAACACCGCAAAAATTGGCCATCTTGAAGGCACACTTTTCATTAAATGCTTAACCAGAGAGTAGTGAATCCAGTTATAATTAAATTAATTCATCTCTATGGTGTTAGTAGGGTTGTCACATATTTTTCTCTTTTTGTTTTGTTTGATGTTATTGTATCTGATTTATCTAAAACTGAATTATACTGGTGTTGTTTTTATGTAGGCCTACTGGTACACAATCTGTGCCAAGAAGGTGATTGGAGAATGGCACATAGCTACTTTATTCCAGTTCTTGTTCCTAAATAAATCAAAGTAGGCTAATCTTGCACCTAAAAATTCAATTAAAATAGTCGTTTGTGCTAATTTCAGAGTTAGTAAAAGATCCTGTTTTAATCTGTGCTTACATATGAAGAATTGGAGAACTTGTTCATGCCGCACATAGTTATTTTTAGAGCAATTTATTTTATTTTTGATGGCGGTTTGTGTCTGCACCAAACAGAAAGTGCAGCACCTCGTTTGGTTAGATAGATCAATAAGTTTCTTGGCTGTTTGCCACATCATTCACCCAAGGTATTTTCAGAACCAACACTTCTTTGACAAGAACCGATGAACTCTGTTCAAAAATAGCAGAAATGTTAGCTAGTCTGTTATTTTCCTGGACTAAACATTTTTATTTCTTCTACAAGCTTTTACATAGGCTTTTACTTACGTAGATCTAATGTAAAGCAAGTAAAAACTGTTCAAACATAAAATTATGTACGATTAGGGAGAATGTAGCCATAATTAACTCAAAGTTTTAACAAACTAATATTAACTCAAGGTAAAATACTGTGATTAGTAACATATAAACACATTAATTGGTAAGTTTTCACCTTTCCATTTATAATCACGAACTATTTTATGGAATTACCTTTAACTGATAAGCAAAATATTATATTTGAATTAAGTTTACTTCTATTAAATGCCCACAGTACACACAATATAAAAGGGATTTTATAGAGGGATACTAAGTATTGCGGTAAACATCTTTATTTCTGTAAATTTTTATACTATTTACATGAATGTTTTGTTATTTAAAAAGCGAGTTGATGTTAAGTGATGAGTTATTTTGATAACAAGTTAGATTACAGTTTTTGGATTTTCTCAGACAAAGAAATTAATTAAATTTACAAATTATTAATAAACATACTTTTCTACTTTTAAGTGAAGTATTCAGGGAATTTATGATTAGCCTAGTGGGATTTACTCGCAAGGCCTGCCCAGCTATTGTCCTGTTTTATCCCTCTTTCAGATAGTTGTCCCAACTTAACTTGTGACAAAGTATAGGTTTTTTTTAACTTAACTGCCTGTCATTATAGACCAACTGTTGTGGGGATCTAAAGTGAATCGTGACTGTAAAGCGACCTTTTTCAAACCAGCTGTCTGGATTTTTTGCTCAAGATATTTTCACTGAGCTGTTGTAATGGTAGTAATGATTATGTTTACAGGCATGTATGACGGAGGTGAGCACACACCCAAGCTGCTGCCTTGCTCACACACTGTCTGTCTACATTGTCTCAGCCGCATTGCTGCCTCACAGACCCGTGACACAGGCACATTCAGGTGTCCAATATGTAGAGAGTGCATCACCATACCTCGTGGCGGAGTATCAGCCCTTCCCCCCTCCTTCCTGGTCAATCAGCTGCTGGACCTGATGGCACGACAGAGACGCGAGGTGGTGCCCAAGTGTTCGGTTCATCTCAATCAGGTGAATCTAGTAATTTATTGTTAACTAATTGTTCACAACTGAGTGAGGGTTGATTTAAATCAGAGAATAAACTGTTTTCTGAATCTCGAAATAACTTTTGTCTACATAATGGTTAATTGGGACAAACCCCAACCCTAGACTCATTCAGGGCCTGTTGCCGATCGTGTAACGGCAATGTTACGTACCTGCAAAAGTGTTTATTTTTGGAGTTAAATGTATGTGCCGTTTGTTTAAACGATCAATTAAGCTATCTAAGCAGTTTTGATGTTTATTCCTGGACTTTATAGTGTTTGAAAATGGCAGCTCGCCGAAACATGTTGTACATGGCGACAGGTAGGCCTATATAAAACCCAATTAGTCAATATTCCAAGTCTGGGGCTACTAGGCCACAATGGATTTTAATACCTGATGGTATTCTGGCTGTTGAGTCGTGTGGTAACTAAAATAAGCTATAACAATGAACTTACCTCAATCCTTAAAATATTTTTAGTGCATCTGATGTTTGAGTGGCTTTGTATTTTGTCAACCTCATTTCCCCCTATCTTTTGTTTATTAATATCATATTGGGGAGCTAGTTGGTCAAGTGGCAGAGTATGGGGCTTCAGTTTCAGAGGCCTTGGGTTCTAATCCTGCAAATCACCAGTGACTCTGGCTACACATGATAATGCCGCAACCCTCTATCCCATTGCCAAGCCTCTTGGAATGTGTAAAATGATTACAGGCTATAGCTTGGCATCCTAGAATGTACACATGTATTTTACAATCAGTTGTTGAGGCGCTCTAACCTGTATATTGTTACAGGAGCTGTTGTTCTGTGAGACGTGCGACACGGTGTTCTGTTCACTGTGCACAGACGGCAGCCACTCTACAGCCTCCACGTCGTGTGAACACACAGTCATCCCCTTCAGTATAGCCATCAAGCGCATGTCCGAGATACTGCTGTACAAGGCTAACGAGTGCATCTCTAAGGTAAACATGTAGTTAATGTTATAGGCCGCTTTTCCCATAATGGGAATAAGCTATTACTGTAGGTCTCATGGTAAGAGCTGGACCCAGGGCCCATTTACTTTTTGTTTTTAGGTCCTTTGAGGCCAAAAACACCATCTGTTCAAAATATTGTATTTTTATATGTGTCTGTCGTAGCCTCTGAATCACTATGATACAGTAGACTCCATCAAATGCGGACACCTTTTAACCGGACATTGGTATAATCAGACTAAACTTGGCAGTACTAGTGACTTCTCTTTAGCCTTAAAAATTTGTTATCAGCTCATTGGTTAAACTATACTGGATCAGCAGGAAGTAGGGACTGAAACAGATTTTCTCTTCAGAAAGATTTGATACCAGTGATTACATGTCTAAATACAATGCTCTCCCAAATTTAAGTACAATTTTTGGGTTAGTTTTCAGGTGATTCCCGTATCGTGCACATGTATTGTTGGATTCTTTCATACTGTGACTTAAATAAATTTAAAACATAAGCGTTGAGCTGGTATTTGGGTTTACGGTAACTATCAAAGAGTGCCTAGTTTTCGTATTTAGATGTGGTGATCATTATTGGCTTGTAAATTATATATTAGACAGTTCTAATATTTAACAAGTTTTAGGGGTCGATTTAACCAGAAAAAACGTTATCCGTGCTGGCCTTGGTCCCCGGGAGTCCGGATAAGAGAGAGTACTAAAAGGTTAAATTACCTTGTGTGTTGACTGGGAATGAATCACACATGAAACATTTTGAATCACTGGCTACTTTTTTGAGGCAAATACTTTTATTTGAGTCACTTGGCTAAAAAGGTAAATTTGCCTTTATATTAAACTAGCTGTACCCGCGGGCGTTGCCCTGTTTAACTTCTTCATTTTCAAGATGAGCTCGTTCGCATCAGGGTTCGCATGGCTCAATCACGTCCTGGTTGAAGTTTGTTCGCCACGCTCACTCACCTTTAGGTTGGAGCTCGTTCGCTGTGCTCACTTGCCTTCAGGTTAGCTTGTTCGCTACGCTAACTCACCTCCAGGTTGAAGTTCGTTCACTACGCTCACTCACCTTTTGGTTGCAAATTAGCTGTTGTCATAAATTAAAAAAATAATAGTGCTGCACCCTGTTGGTAATCCTTGTAACTTTAATGCTATTGAACATCATAGAACAGAACCAACTTGTTTAATTGAAACAGCTGTTAAGATTCATTAATTCCTTTTAAATATGAAAAATCATTTAATTCTCCATCTCTTATCACCATATCATTGATTGAGTTTGTTGCTTTGCAGTTATCGTTAGCAGAGGACGCAGTTAATGGAGAGATCACAAGACTGGAGCAGACGACGCGACAGTGTCTAGCCGGTCTGGACACAACGTTCCAGGAAATCACAGCGGCAGTGGACCAACGTCGTGCTGAGCTCTGTGACGCAATCACACTGGCGTGCGATGCCAAGAAAAAGGTTCTTGATGAACAGTTGGCGCTCATTCAGTCAGAGAAGGACAAGGTGAGATGTAAAAACTGGGTAGCAGTAAAATAGCTAATGAAGCCTCTATTTGAAAAGTCGATCAAAACATTTTAAATTTTATTGGTTTATCAACTAGTACGAGTATATTTGCATAAAACTATACACATTTAAAAATTTCACCTACGATATACGTTGAAATAAATTTACCACTTTCATGATACCAAACTCATTATTAGGCTATGTCATCAAATTATAAGCTTGGCAATATCATGGAAGTAGTATTTTCAGCTAACATTTAGTCTGCACTAATGTTATTTTAAGTTTTCTTTTGTCAATGAGGCCCTGGCATTCATCATTTATGATAATATTTAATACCGAATCTTCTGGTGTTTATACATATTATATCCCTTTCACACAGATTCTAACAATCGTAAGTAGACCTAATTCTAGAGAGTTGTCTGAATTTTTAAGGTCTGGTTGACAGCGTCTTGGAGAAGTGGTCAAAGCACTCAACTTGAATCTTGTGGAAAAGATGTTGTGAGTTAGAATTCAGATGATCAGAGGCACCTTTTGTATTATCATCCACCGAAATCCCACATATACATAGTTGCTTTCCACAATAGCTTTTCACGTTTTTCAATGGATCGATAGTTAACAAGCCTGCCAATTAATTATTTTTACTCGAAAAATTATTCTGTAACATTTTTGTTTCTGTTACTTTTTATCCTAAAAAGTTTATTCATTATTAACATGTAGGTTTATCAATGTCAAAAAGAAAATCTCAAATAGATCATAATTTAAAACTTTTAAGAGGCTTTTACAATTTTAAACTAAACTTTAGGGGAGGGTAAGCTGAACGCTTGTTACACTTGGTTTTGTCAAATCAATTTTTAGCCTCGTTTGACTTTGGTTGAGGCAATTTCTGTAAACCAAGTAAATCTGATATTGTCTGCCCCTTTATTTTGCGTATCCAATATTGAGTATGACAATAATTAATACACCTAATTAATTTATAGTGTACTTGTTGGCATACTATGAATATTTATTTGTTTTTGTTGCTTGTTTGGAATTTTTTTACCTCTGCTAATTTTATTCATGTAGTGTGGCTTTTAACTAGGTATTAAAATTTTTGTTATTAATTAAAATAGAAATGAAACACACAAGAAGCTTTTTGTTTTATTTTAGCTTACTTTTTTATCACTGTTAAATACTTTCACTGATTAAATTAAATGAACGAAGTCACCTTCAAGGTGGGGGAATAAAAAAAATATGAATTGGAAAATGAATAAGCACAAATATGTTTGGTCAATGTTATTGTCTGTGGAACTTCTATTTACTGTTAGACTGGCTCATTATTTGTCCAGAGACAGATTATAGAATGAAGGGGTAAAGGAAATTTTAGAAATCTTCGAACTAGTGTGGAAATTTAAATTTTCAGTTTAACTTTTTTTATGGAAAATATTAATAGAAGCAAATAAATTAAAAGAACATAAGATTAGTGAACATTCGAGTTCAAATCACTTATTGAGCCTCTAAACACAACAGGCAGAAAGCCAAGTAAAAGGAAAAAATGGTTTATTTTAATGAAATTCTTTGCTGTAATTAAAAAAAATTTTCACAGATCAGCAAGAGTTTTTCAATATTTAAGACTTCTTCTTCGGCTAGAAAAGTTGCTAGTACTCTCTTAAAAACCAGTTACCAGGAAGCAGATTCAATACTTTTATAGCCTGTTCCTAGGAAGATGAAGATAAGAACAATTATAGTGGCACACTGATAAATAAATAAATCACGCAATAAATCAAATTGTTAACTGCAAGGACCTGGGATTTCTTTGAGCAGTTTCCTTAAATGATGTAATAGCTAATTACATTACAAGTGTAGTAAGAGCGTTTTTACATCACGCAGGTAAATGTTGTGCAACGAGCGGAAGCGAGTTGCATAATTTACCTAAGTGATGTAAACACGCTCTTGCGTAACGTGTAACGTACAAGATTTTACCTGACCCGACAATATACTTAGGGTTACGTACAATATTTTTCATTATCCATTTCACTCAACTTCTAACAGTAAACGTTCTTTTACAAACAAAAGCTAGGTTAGGAAAATACTTTAAAGCATAACAATAACATTCAAGCGCACAGCTGATTTCTAGTGTTGAATGTCGTTGGCTCCATAGAGGTATATTTTTTAAGTTAAGCACTCAATGTTATTTAAATGGGTTTCTTTACATCACCGAGTGAGTTTTTGATACTTTACATCACTCGAGAAGTAAGGAAGTTGTATACATCACGCTTAGGATAGGGAAGTTTAACATGGTGGGTTAGGTAAAATACATTAACCACTCAAAGTAAACTATCACTTTAAGTAACCAGTTAATTTTTATTCGTCTAATTTTTCAATTCAGTTTTTGTATTTGTTTTTTAGCCTATTGTAATTTATAAAAGGATTCTGCTCATCAATAGGAAAATATCTTTCTAACAGTATGCGTAGATTTTCCCTGCATTTCACACAAGCTGAGAAAAAAGGTTTTCAAGAAACATGCTTACCTATTAATACATAGGATTTTAAAACTGGCTGCAATATTACGAAAGAATGACTAGTTTGATCAAAATGTATTATTTAAATTTTAATATATTGCTGCGGCAGGTGAGGGAGGAGTGTGACGGGCTGCAGCAGCAGGTGGAAGTGCGTTACATCACTCGTCGCATCAGCAGTCTCGGTGAGAAGCTGGACAGTGCGAGTGCATTGGCTGAGCCTCGTGAGAACGCGTTCCTCGCATGCGACCTTGCGAGTGACTCACTCAAGCGACTACAGGGAGCTCTGGCGACGCTTGGTCGAGTACGCACCTCCACCACCTTCCCCAGCCTGTGTACGCTGGTCGCTAAAGGTGAGTCATTTCTCAGGATCGAACCAGCAACCTTTTGATTGTGAGGCGAGCACAACCACTCAGCTACCCAGCCAGTTTTCTTTTAAAAGATCTATGCAACGCCAACACATTAGGGTGGGTATTTTCAAACGTATTTGAGAAAAGGATGATTATTGAATTGATTAGAAGGCGCGATGACGGCTTTGTTACTGACCAAGATCAGCTGTTTTTTTTTTTAGAGATATACATTTAAATCTGTATAAATTATCAAGTCAAGCTTTGAAACCATCAAAAAGGTTCTGAATTTTTAAAGGATTTAACGTAATTAGCCGCCTTCTGATTACCAAACAAGCACTACATCCAACCAGTTACAGTAAGGTAATACATTATTGAGGATAAGGTTTCTTAATCTGATTGTTGTTGGATTTGTTATTTTCAACTGACATTTCCACAATTTTGTTAAACTTGACTATTTTATTAATTTGTTTTTCTTTGATTTGGCGTTTTCTTAATTATATTTGGTTAGATGCTTATTGTTGTATTTTCATAGTTACATTTTTTTGACTTATATTATTAGTTTATAAACTACAATATGATCTTATGACTTCTTTATTTTTTGTTTAATTACTTTCTTCCACTTTCCCCAAAGTCAATAGTGACCGAACGGGAACATTTATTGCAGAGCCTTATGTGGTCAACCTGGAGGCAGTGGCTGTGTTGAACACAGTCGATTACCACGGTAACGCTCGCACCAACGGAGGGGACCCCATCACTGCGGAGGTGAGAGCGGAGGGCCCCGCCGCAGACACCCCCGCTGCTACTGTGGAAGACAGGGAGGACGGGACATACTTCATACGCTTCAGGCCTTCGACACACGGCAGGTAGGCTAAATTAGTATTTCGTATATTATGGGCTGTTCCTAAATATTTTCAACTTGTAATTTGATAATGAAATTAATTTTGATCCTTATTGTAATTATTTACACATTTTACTCCTGTCTAACTAAACATTTTTATGTGGATCCAACTTTGAAAGTTTTTACTCTTTTATGTAGCCTATAGTAAAAAAAAACAAAAAAAAAACACGTGTATGGGATATCTGGGCTCTCTGTTCAGCCCCAACCCAAATTGCTATCTCTAGAGCAGTAACAGAGCACAGAATATATCGCTCACTATTGTGAATGTGTTGCAGGTACTCTATATCAGTAAGTGTGCTGGACAGACCAGTGAAGGGGTCGCCACTACAGGTGACAGTGAGTGAGCACAACAACCCGGTCAGGTCCTACGGCAGTAGAGGCTCGGACAAGGATCAGTTCCTGCAACCAGTGGCTGTGGCGGTCGACAACCAGTCTGGCGTGGTATGTTGAATCAAATCATCTGTTCTGTTCCCATAAAGTATAGCCATATGGTGTTCACTTACCAACAAAATTCACTAAATGTCCTATATTTACAAACCCTTTGAAATTAATAACTGGAGATAGATGGGATTGTAGTTTTAGTTAGTGAGGGGATTTTACTGCCCTCCTGATTTTCAACTTAATTGAATGTGAAATCTTCAGGCGGCTGTTGGAGAGCTCACTTAAAATCAACACGGAAGGGTGCTTGCTGTATTCGGCTATTAACGACAACAGTATTATTTGTATTTCGTTCGCGTCCACCAGTTAAAGTTCGTCGGCCTCCTCCTATTGGCCGTCCTGGTCGACATCTTATAGTCTCCATTATGTCGAACGTTTTTGATTTTGTGTGAATAAAAACTGGTTTAAAACAGTGAAACATCAATTTTTTCAACTAATCTAATAAATCCTTATAGCACATGTCTCCAATTTTAGTATAACCAGCTGTTTCAAATATTAGTATCAATTTCAAAGTATTCATCTGTTCAACAACAGCTGTAAACAAACATTTTCTCCCTAAGAATAACATGGGAACTTTGAAGGCCACTGGGGCAGATCCCTGATGGAATTCCAAAGTTTTTTTGTTTGATGGCAAAACTACATGCTAAGACCTTTCTAACGACACCTTGAACATGGTGATCGGTAGCACCATCGCTCCAAAACAATTATGACAAAAATATGCCCAGCGTATTAAATATATAGATTTAATTTACCCATGACACTATTGCAATTCTTGATGAATGCACAATAAAGAATATTGTGTTGTATTGTATTCTTAAGTTTTAGAACATTTGGCAAACAGATTCATTAACTTTAGTGATTCTGTCTGCAGGTGTATGTGGTGGACACTGGCAACTCTCGTGTGAAAGTATTGACGCCAGAGTTGCAGCTGATCCGTCACATAGAGAGCTCAGGACTGGCCGGAAGATCGTGCACCGGTGTGGCAGTACACGGGGACTGCGGCTGGCTAGCTACTGTCAACTGGCGCAGTCGCACAGTCACACGCCTCGACACGCACGGCGTCACGCTAGCCACGTTTACACACGCTGCGTTTGTTGAGCCTATCGATCTCGCGATAGACACTAACTACGGACACATTCTAGTCGCCGACAACGGACCCAGTTGTGTCTTTGTGTTTGACACTGAGGGGAAACTGTTGTTTCAGGTTTGAAAAATTTTGTTACTGGAAGAAATTTGAGAATAAACAAAAAATTATTTTAAAATTTATAATTTGTATGAACATTAATTTTTCCCTCTAGTGAACCGTAACTCTAAACTGCAACCCCGGGTGCTATCTGTTGGGGAAGTCAATTTTCCAAAAAGCGTATACATAGATAAAATATTAATTAACATGAATTGGCATTGAAAAAGCTGTTTATAGCTTGATGTAATATGATAAGTTCATGGGAAAGAGCACATTTGTTTGTCACCACAATGTTCGCTGAACCACCTGTTAAACCTCCACTTCCCCCTTGATTGAGATGTACTTGTTATTTGAGAGCACTGATGGTTGCCTGTGTAAAACACTTTGCCTACTTGTGTTCTTTTCTTGCTGCATTCAAACTCAAGTTAGCTAGTTTTTTGTAAGTGATTCCTCAGCTTAAAGTTTATACCTTCCGCAAAGATTCGTGGCGGCTGAGGGATTAGGACGGTCGGGTGGTGTCCCAGCCCCTACATTAGCCCTTGCTCGGTTGCTCTAGGTTTGAGCCTAGTGGGTGACTCATTGTCAAAACCGGAGCAGCCGAGCGAGGGCTAACTTAGGGGCTGGGACACCACCTGACCTAATCCCTCAGCCGCCACGAATCTTTGCGGAAGGAATAAATTTCACGATTGACAATGAACAATTTTCCATTAATACCTCATCCACCTGACTGTTCAAATTACCTCCTTCTTTTTTTATAAAACAGTTAAATATTTGCACTCATGTTAGAGGGGGAGAGAGAGGGAGAGAGAGAGAGAGAGATATATGAGAAAATAAGTTATGGTCTCAAAGACCTGTAGGGCAAAGCAATAATCTGATGCAATTACCAACATGATAATGGACCTATGTTGTTCTGACTAATCAAAATTATGTCGCAAAATTTAAAATCAATTAGTCAAGTTCCTATTGACAAGTAGCTATCTTTTTAGTTGTCAAGTCACAAACATCCAAACCCCTGACTGAATCAACTTTTCCATTTTAATGTTAGTAGGTACAAACAAATACCAATTCATATTTTGATATTCGAAAACCAATCTGAAGGATTAGTGTACACGAGAGGTTGTAATAGTTGTAATGTAACACTAACTAAGCACATTATATAACATTTGATAATTGAACTATGGTGATATACAAACTACAGCAGCATACTTCCTCATTGCAGGTTGGCAAGAAGGGCAGCCAGAAAGGTTGTTTTAACCTCATCTCGTGCGTGACTGTCGGTCCTGGCGGAGAAATTGTTGTAGCCGACTCCAGAATACAAATCTTCTCTGCTAAAGGCGATTTCCTGCAGGAAATATACCCCGAAGGAAAAGGTGATGTAGACAAAATATAATCACTTAGTTTATTTGTGATAATTTATTTTTAAACTTCTTTAATTTTTAAGTACATGTTGAAAAGCATTACAATAGGCAACTGGGTAAAAAATCTAATGGCAAATTTGGCTATTTTTTTGTCAGTATGTCCATAATTTCATCAACAACTATGGTGCTGTGCCTAGTTTTGTTGCAAGCACAACATTTTTGCTAGCAACACGTCAAAAAAAAAATATGAATATACATAAACATAAAACAACGACACGGACATAACATAGAACAAACAACGATAGCGTTATCAAGCAATGTAAAAAAATCAAAGCTTTGAATACATTACTACCTTTCGCTTTCTATATTGACTTATATTTATGTATGAAATAAATCATAATTGAATCTTATTTCTATTTGTGAATAATTTGCAGAGGCCAGAAGAAGTTCCAATTTATTGTGTTGTAGAATCGCTTGGTTGCTATTGAGAACTAAGGGGACTTCAGACCTACCTAGAAAACTGTACAGTATTATTGTGTAAGATTCTCTTTTGCTATGTGATTGTTTTCATGTTTTCATTTCCTCTCAGTTGTTGATCAACATTAATTTGTTCCAGGCAAGGGAAGATATGGTGGCGTCGCAGTAGACCCTGAAGGTATGATAGTCGCATCACGTTCAGAGAAAGGGCGCAACTTCATCCAAGTCTTCCGCCTGAGTGATGGGAAACTGTTATCAACAATTGATTCACATGATTTTAAACTTAAGCGTCCGAGCGGTATAGCTACTACGAATGATCGACACCTCATCGTAGTAGATCTCGGAAACGATTGTATCAAGAAATATCGATACTGGTGAATCAATTAGCTTGTTATGTGAACGGTGCTGTATTTGTAAATATCTAGTGTTTTTCATTTTTTTAACGTTTGAATAGGCTTAATTGATTTTTACTCGTTTTAGTCTTGTAACTAATGTAGCAACGATTATATTCCCTTTCATCGTGCCAATATGGTTTATTATCGCTTTTTGCGTTCTCTCGTCATTTTTATTCGTGTTTAGCGTACTGTACTGATTTATAAAGTAATTTACTTAAGCCATTTTAGTTTTAGTCCAACGTTGGCTTTAATCCCCAAAAGCTTCATTCTTGTGCATTATTTCTGTAGAATCTTTTTCTTGTTTTCTTTTCTTCGTCAAATAAAAGTGCATTTTATCTTACTTAACATGGGTTTTCTACTACAGTAGACTCTCGCTCATCTGGACTAATGTGGCGGAAGTCCGGTCTGGATTACGAAAAATCCGGACTATCGAGAGTCAAGCAAAAACAGTACTGTATAAAGCCGTTTTTTTTTTTTTTTCAATTTTGTTCCAGATCCTCAGTATTCATAGCTGGGCAAATGCAGTTCCACCGGAAATAATTTTTACCGCCGTGTTATCCGAGTTTTTGGTTATCCGAGGTAGTCTCGGTCCCGTTTTGCTTGAATAATAAGACTTCTAATGTACTGTGCCACTAAAAAAATCACGATTGCCGATCCGGACTAGCGGGAGTCTGGACAAGGCCGATCCGGATGAGCAAAAGTCTACTGTATTCGTTTCAATCAATTGAGAATACAGAAGATTTCATACGGAGAGTAAACTAAGCTAAAGAGTGAAAAAATTAATCAGTGCCAACAACCAATTAATCCACCAATGCGTGACTACAATAAGCATTTCAATATTTTTGGTTTGAAAAACAAGTGTCTGCCAAGCCAAGTCTTAAAAACAAATCAAATTCTTTGATCAAAGTCATTCAAAAGTTGTCTCAGTTTTGTCCAAAACTTTACTTTGAATCTTGTAAACTTCTAAACCAATCAGAGAAATCAATAAGAAAGTGTTGAATAATAATTACAGGAATCAACTTTTGTTGACGAAAGCATGTACAGTAATAGAAACATTCAACTTTATCTCAAATATAACAGGTATTGAATAAACTATACAAACATATTCTACAGATTTTTATCGTTATCAAAAAACATGTCACATGTCTAGAATTTGGAGCACTACTTCATTCATTTTATTGAAAGTAAACGGGCATTTAGATTATTGAAATACTGTAGCTTACTCTTAAAAACTCTATAATCTCTGCTTGACATACCTTGTTTTTAATTTTTCTGTATTCTTATTTAAAAAAGATAAATTGTAAGGCTGGTGTAACTCTTACTTTACTTACCTATACAGCTTATGACCGACAAAATTATTATGAGATAATCCGACCAATATTTGTGTTCTATTTTGATTTTATGGATGATCTCTTTTTTTATTTTTATCGAACAGCTGGGCTGATAAAAGCTATAGGCCTACACCAAGGCCACACTAAAAAAACAGGCCGTAATGCTCGTCAAGCATGACGTCACGATAGAAGACGCCTATGACGTATAAGTATTTATTTATTTTTTTCCAATGAAAGATTAAAACAAGCAGCTGATCACAAACGGCAAAATTACGTCATTGCCGTCTTCTATAGTGACGTCATGCTTGACGAGCATTACGGCCTGTTTTTTAGTGTGGCCTTGCCTACGTGGCCTTGCCTACACTGATTCCAGCCTACAAATTAGTGTTGTTTCTTTATCAGCTTTAATACTAGTTTTTTTAAGCTTTAAAATAGTTTTTTTGCGTTATAAAATAACTTGTCTCCTGCATTCACAATTGTTGTGGTATATGCTTAAAATACACTATTTCTGTATATACCTTCACCACTCAACACAAATAGTACGCCTGAATTCTTGCACAAAGTATCTATTGTAAAGTTAAGACAATAATGTTTTTTTGTAAAAAGTCAATCATAAAATCAGCTGAGAAGCAACACTATAGTTCGGCCGCTTAGAAAACGACCTGCGCGCTAATGCTAAACCAATGCTGGAGGAGGTCGCTTTCTAAGCGGCCGAACTATAGAATATAATCTTGGACAAGTTTTGTAGCACATTTTAAAAGAGGAATGTAGCCGAATTACGTAGCCAATCACTGTTGTGTAGATGTGTGAGATTAGGTATCAGGGCCTTAATATTTACACCTTTAAGAAGTTCTTAGTACATGTACCTAGTCTGTTTTTGTGTCATTTGATCGCTTCGAATTAAATTTTGTTAAGCTTTAACACCTGTTGAATAGTCGCTCGATTTATTTCTAAAACTCACTATAAATACTTTATGCTCTCTCATATTAACTTTGTGAACATTGTACAGCTGTTTTAAACTGCTTTTGACATATTAGCAATGCCTCGTTGTCTCAGAACGTTTAAAGCTTAACCTTTTTACTGCTAATAATACTTTTTAAACTTTAAATGAAAAAATTAGTAATGTTTAAATAATTTCAAATTATATTTCTAATCTAAAAGCAAACTTTTTAAACATGGCAATACAAGTTATATCAATACTAGCAGAGTACCCGTCCTTCGTACGGGGTTGGCATATAAGTATCAAATGCTTATAGCAGTTATGAGTGAGGACATGGTTTAAGAAATTTCGGTTCTTTTTGAAGTTCGTTCGCTACGCTCACTCACCTTTAGGTTGGAGCTCGTTCGCTGCGCTCACTTTCCTTCAGGTTAGCTCGTTCGCTACGCTCACTTGCCTTCAGGTTAGCTCGTTCGCTACGCTCACTCGCCTCCAGGTTGAAGTTCGTTCGCTACGCTCACTCACCTTTTGCTGTTGTCATAAATGTAAAAGAAATAATAGTGCTAGTGCTGCACCCTGTTGGTAATCCTTGTAACTTTTAATGCTATTGAACATCATAGAACAGAACCAACTTGTTTAATTGAAACAGCTGTTAAGATTCATTAATTCCATTTCTCATAAGGTTAACATGGGAAACTCCAGAGCCACTGGGGCGGAGCCCCGAAGGATTTTTGGGATAAAAATATGCCTATATGTTAATCGGGAATGTGAGCTATCATCATGCCAAATTTCAGCCCGATCCGACCAGTAGTTTTTGAGATTAGCTCATACAAACACACACACAGACACCACCTCTTCTTTATAATAGTATAGATAATTGTGTGATGTATAATTTAAAGCCTTCAAACCATTTTGTGTGACATGATATTGGTTATTGAGTACTGAAAGCTTAACACAAACAGTTTATTTTTAGATCAAACTTAAGTACCAACAATTCCTGTATTAAATACATACAGTTCATCAAAATTAGTAATTGTATAGTCAATGAAAATCCAACATAACATCTTATGGACATTCCATCCCCATCTAAAATCTGTAGCTAGATTTTTTTATCAAAATCGTCGTAGTTGATGTGAGCCACCGACAGATTGTGCTGATCTAATTTACTAATTTCTGTCGAATACACAATGTTTTTACTAAGTTAAACTTAGGGAATGACTTATTATGAGCTATAGCAACTGTTATGACCCATTAACTGTGTCAGCAACAAAAGTAAGGTAGAAAATAGTAGACACTAGCGCGTTCTGTGATTGGCTCACACAACTACAATTTTGTTTAGTAAAAAAGGTTGGCAACAGCTGGTCCATATAGATGGGATGTCTATGTATCCAATAGTCAATGATAACATCTTATAAATCGTTTAAAGATCACCTGGCATTGTAAATATGTCTAAACAAAGTTTGCACAAGCGAGTTTTATTGTAATGAACAATCCTTTTATTGTAGCCTACAAATCTATGTTAGGAAAAATAACTTTTATAGGGTTTAGAGTGTGTAAGACTGTTGGCAAAAATTATATTTGTAAAATCACAGAACTGGAAATTAGGTGCCATCATATTAGTTGTTAGTCACCATCACATATCACAGAAATACTGTAAAATAGCAAAGTCATGATACACTTCAATGTTCTGTTCCGAAACTGTTGTTTAACAAATTTGATTTTGTTAAAGTGATATGCTCAACTCGTGGTAAGACTAATTTTTGTAAACACATTAATACAACTTTATTTGTTAAGCTCAGCTAGCTAACTTGAGAAAATTAGAGTCCAGGAGCTAATAGGTACACAGTAAAATAAGACAAAACATAGCATTGATACATACTGAGAATTGGTTGATTTCTCTTCAGTCTTCTCTCTGAAGAAGTCTTACTTCAGGACGAGATATCAGTATTATGTTTTGTGTTTTGTTATTGTGTATCTATTAACCTTGGACTCTAATATTTTCAGACATAGCTTAAGTCTATTCCTTTTCAAAAAATTAATTACAAGTCAATTGGCTTTCCTTTAAAATATACGAGGTCTATCCAGAAAGTAGATTACGTTTTTGTCTGTATCCGCTAGGGCGGGGCTAGCCCGACCATCTTGGTGTTAGTTCGTTATGCAGCTCAGTCGGCATCTAGCCGTGCTAGTAAGAGGTTTCTGCTGTACTCTGTTGAGCTACTGTGACAGTTTAAAATGTCTGTGTTAATTGAAAATGCCTCGAACTGTGAAGTGGGGCGCTAGTCCCGCCCCTAGCGGATACAGACAAAAACGTAATCTACTTTCTGGATAGCCCTTGTAGATACAACTTATTGCAATTTCCATATTTAAAATATTGATCAAAATGTTATTAAAAACTAGAAATGTTTCAATATTGGAATATGTTTTTTGTAAATTTTGACGTTAACAGTAAAGAATAATAACATTTTCATTAACTATAGTTACTATTTTTTGTTTTTACAAAATATTAGCTCAATTTTTTATATAAGTGTAACTAGTTTTTTGTTAATCAATTTAATTTTAAGCCACCTTGCTCTCTTAAAACTTATCACTTAAAAAATTTAAATATTTAAAAGCTGCTTTATTTTTGTTCGACAATCTCAAAATATATCTTGTGGGCTTTATTACAGGATGAACATTATTAATGTTGTTTCAAATACAAACGTTTACTGTCATTACTGTCACTATGATAATTTGTTTTGTTATCGCGTAGAAAAAATAAATTAACTATCTTGAATTATGTGACTTATTTTTGTTGCTACAAAATATCATGTTGATCACAAAGTCATTTAATTTTTTTTAGAAATAGCCCATGTTTCTATGTTAAAGTAGTTTAAGTTGACTTAATTTTGATAATATTTTAAATTTCTGTGACTGACATTGATATAGACTGCAGGGGTTACTTTTGATTTTTGTTGATATAACTATAGCACATTTTACATGTTTCTAAAAGCAATGTGAAGATATAGTTATTTGTGCAACTAGTGAGCAATTGACTCACCCGAGATAAATACTTACTCACGAGCCGTAGGCGAGTGAGGAATGGTTTCTTGAGTGAGGCAATTGCACTTTGCTTTCTCAAATCAGTGAGAGAACATGTACATTGTTAGGTAACTGTAGGAAAAAGAAATATCCGTTACTATTTTCACAAATTCCGTTTTCTTTTCTGTTGAAATAACTGTGTTATCTTGTTTATATTCTGGTAATTAATAATAATTTTGTTTTATTATTCTTGTCAATTTGTACAACCAAACTAACAAAATATAAAAACAAAACAGTAATTCATTTAACAGTTACGTTTTTTTCCAAGATGAGTTGCAGTATGCTATAAAACATAGTCTCTATAATAATACATCCACTGCACAGATTTAAAATTGTAATTACAGTAGTATTCATTCTTTCATTAGAACACAAATTCCTTTCAAATAATAATCCAACAACAAAAATAACTCTAATTTTGTTGGCATAAACAATTCAAACGTTTCAGCTGTAATGAACTTGTATTCTAACTTGGACAATTTTACTTCATTATCAGTTTATATTATTTTCCAGATTAATAAACTCATAAGTTTAAATGAGTTGGTTTCTGACTTTTAAAACATGATTTGGGTTTTTTGAGCCCAGTTTGACCAATTAATAATCGAACCTCTGCTACACGTTGTAAGCTTATTAAGGAAACTGTGCATTTTCTTACGAATATTCTTGTTTCCTGACACCGTACTTTCTAGTCATTACTTTCTATTTATTTACAATTTATTTCATACCGTACTCTTTATAGTTTCAACTGTCATGTTGTGTTTGTACGCTATATTGTATATCACAATAAAGTGCATATATCTTGAGTATGTTTGTGTCTTATTTAACTTTTACTACTTTTAGCATCATCCAGAATGTATGAGCCGTAACATAACATAAAAAAACCCCTAATTCAAGACAATCAAGACATGTTTACTGTCTTATTTCCAATGGCTACAAAGGCCATTGACATTGGACACTACAAGTAGTCTTCATTCTATTGTAAAGTCCTGTATTAATCATCAAAACTGGATGTGTTTTAAGGTCCATATAAGTGCACTTGATGTTGACTACACGGTTTCCTCTCTTTGGTGGGATTTTATTTTACCCTTTATTCTTCAGTTATAACACCAGAGAACAAGCAATAGCTTATAAATATACCTTTTTTTGTTAATAAATTTATTTTAAAGTTTGTGAAATAAGAAAAGAACAGTTAACATAGAAAACTCAACATTTCCCAGACCGAAATTTCAGAAGAATGACCAGAAAATGTTTTATAGTGAACATTTTAAACCTCAACAGGGGCTCTATAGATAAGGCCAGGTTCAAACGAGCGACTCATCTAGCCTGGCTGTGACTAGAATTTTGCCGTGGCATGGTGGCATAGATGACTTCATCTATGCTGGCGGAATTAGATCTGGTATGCGCGCCAGCAACCTAGTCACAGCCTAGCAGCCAGATGTGTTGCTTGTGTGAACCGGACTTCAGTTATACTTATAAATGTTATATTTTACAAGGGGACCCAGGCCCAAATTGTGCAGGTTTTGATGAGGTCCAAAACTTATTTCTGAGGCAAATCCAGCACAGTTAGGCTACCCATTTACCTTTTCAAGATTATGTTTGTTTGGAACAGATACTATGTGAATAGTTCTACAGACTATAGATCTACTGTAACTGTAAATAATTACAAAAACGATTTTGACTTTAGATTATACACTAAAGAGTAATTTAAATAAAAAAAAACACATGTTTTTATACAAAGTTTAGTCTCTTGTTTACAATTACTCTTGGTAAATATTCAACTGAAGGATCAGCTGTTACATTACAAAGATATTTCAATTCTTATAAGTTCCTCAACATTCAACAACACTGGATCTTTGAAAATGAACTTTGAAAATAATTGAATAACTTCTTGATCAGCATTGTACGTGTTATTAAATTTACGGAAAGTAAATAAAAGAGATGTCTTTTACAACACTTAACACATATATTTACGCTTATACTGTTACTCACAAGACGGTAAATATAAAAAAAAAATGGTAACTTAAGTGGTGATCGACGCTCCAATCGAAATCGATCACCACTTACCATCTTTTAGCGAATTTCCCATATAGGGAATAAGCTATTACTGTAGTACTCATGGTAAGACCTGGACGCGGGACCGATTTTTTTTTCGTTTTGAGGTCCCTAGAGGCCAAAAACACCATCCGTTCAGATTCATATATATATATATAAAAATAAAGATTAAACATTAATAAACTTAGTACCCAAGTAAAATTATTTATTAAAATATTTACTGACTATAGTTTCGGCTCTAAGGTCATTTTCAAAGGGTACTTGAATATGAAAAAGACAAATCAAAATTACATGTTAAAGAAGATTTTTACATTTACAAAAACTATAAACAACACCCAGAAAATTTACTAAACACAATGAACATCAACAAATCGAATCCAATATTTGAAAAAATCCTGCAGTTAAATTAACAGAGAAAATTATTATATATAGTAAAGGGTGTCCCAGTAAGAACGCCGGATTTGAGGAGCGTCTTATCCTTATCTGTATTTCAATAGGAATTTCCAAATTATCAGCGATGTTATCATTATTAGGTCACATTTGTAGTCATGAATCGCTACACGACGGAACAACGCGTGGTCATAGTTATAAAGTGCACTACAAGTACGGAAGCTGCGCACTATTTACGGCCGGGACAATGCACCAAATGATCCATCTCTCCGAAGATTGGTTTATAAGTTCGAATAAATTGGCTCAGTTCTATTTTGGGGATATTTAAAGTCGCTTGTTTTCGCCAATAACCCTCAAACAATCCAAGACTTGAAGGAGGAAATGATTCGTGCCATTAATGGAATTCAACAGGAAGTGTGTGAAAAAGTGATAAAAAACGTTGTCAAGAGATGTCGAGCTTGTCAGTATTCAGCAGGTTGGCACTTACAAGACATAATACTCAATTACTAATCGGAGATACTATGCTTTAGGATTCATGTTTCATATTGTAAATTTAGCGAGAAAATATATGGTTTGTTAACATTTCAAATCCGGCGTTCTTATTGGGACACCCTTTATAAAGACCATTTAAAAAAGAAGAAATCTAAAGTCATCAAAACCTATGAAATCATATGATTGTATTTATTTTTTAGATAAAATGTTTATTGTATTTGTTAGATATAAAAACAACATGACTATGACATAATCGTCGAAACTAGTCGTTGTTAAATAAAATGAATTAAAAAAAGGGTACTTAGTTTTTAATAATGCATTTATACATTTATATATTTATATACAGTATATATATATGTGTCCGTCAGCACGATAACTCGAGCAAAAATGATCCGATTTTGATGAAATTTGGTACAAACGTGTAAACCTACGTTTATTCGAACGAGTTCGCGTTCCAGCATGACCGGATCATGGGAACGGGGGTTTACGGGGTAAAAATAGGTTTTTCCCATTTTTGACCCATAAAACATAAAATTTAGCAATTTCTTTCCAAACCATTTTGTAGAGCTTAAAAAAACAAATAATTTAGTATATTGAAGCGTTATTATGCACCTAATGGTTACGGAGAAAATTCCAAAAAATTGTAAATTTAAAATTTCTATGTTATTCTTATGGAGAATAAGTAAACTGTTGTAGTTTGCTTGTTTATGAACATATTTTGATCAAATTTGGAAAATGTTTTTATTTCTTAATAACTATTAACATTTTACAAAAAAAAAAAAAAAACAGTTTTACCCTCCCTGATGCAGCAAACATAAGTACTTGTTAAACTAATTCTATTTAAATCGGGAATAAATGTTATATTTTTAAGTAGACATTTCAGTGTAAATCCAATCAGTCAAATGGAAATTCGCTTAGTCTGCAGGTTTGCTGCGGCGGGGGTATTTTTTGTATATTTACCGTCTTGTGAGTAACAGCTTTGACTATTAATACCCATAGTACAATGGTAACAGTATAAGCGTAAATATATGTTTTAAGTGTTATAAGACGTCTCTTTTATTTACTTTCCGTAAATAATTTAAACAAAAGGGGGGCAAAGCCATTACGGAATTTAACGTTTTGTTATCTTTTGTTTTAGGTACGTAGGTTTTATGGATCTTAAGCTTTCAAATGACACCTCCAAAGTGAAAATCAGTTAATTAGGACAGCTAAAAAAGGGGTGTAACAGAGAAAACCCTATTGAATTAATAGAGATTGATATTTATATTATTATATTACTATTATTTTATATTATAAAATAATCTGACTATTTACAAGATTATATATACTCTCAACACCTCCCAATTTTAAAACATTGTTATCTGATCTGTAGAAGTAAGAAAATTAGCTATTCAACACTTTTTGTTTCATTAAAATTAAGATTAACCTCATAAAAACCTCAAACTACTCACAAATTCTAACAATAATACCGATGGATACAAATTTGCATACCCTACCTCTGTTTCTTTCTATAACAATTCAAATTCTCCTGTTTTCGCGGGAAAACTTGCAGACGACATTGATGACGTGCACGAATCAGCTGTTATTAGTTTGACAGTTCGACAATCGAATGCGACCTTTCAATACTAACTTATAATGAATTTCGAAATATTATTATTATCCTAGGCTTCCTTAGTAATCTACAAATCACATATAAAAAATCATAGGTATTGGTAACGTCCTTATAAAACTATATTATATCAAAATGCAGATTCATATAAAACGATTGCATGTAACAAACGAAATATGTAAGGTGCATTTAGTCAAATATCAAGAGATACCATAAAAAGATTACTCTAATGTGTTGGTAGGGTTGAATAATTACATTAAGTAAATGGCCATTCATCGGGCAGAATATTCGATAGAATCGATTGTGAGTGTATTACTTTACTGACTTGTGTGTGTTGTTTGCTAGCGTTGTAGTGAGTGTGAGTGTAGTACTACGAGTGGTGGACAGGGTCAGGGATTGTCAAGTCAACAAAGAACTCAGGTCCCTTTGTGTCAGATTTTAGTATGTTAGTCGATTTGAACTTTCCTTTGTTCAACCGGGAGCTCTAAATGGTCATTTGTTATTTCCGATTGCTACTAGAAGATGTAATTGAAACAGGAAAGTATGTTATTTGTTGAAAACTGTCACAGTTGAAGTGAATGACAAGATGTCGGGACAAAGTAGTCAATGGGTGCGTAAGTCGTCCCCTTCTTCTAAACATGGGCCGATGAAAGCTACGTTGCCGATGTCTTCATTAACTAGACAGAACAGTAATCTCATACAAAGTCAAAATAATAGTCCTACGTTATCTCCTACTTCTTCTTGGAAATCAAGAACTTCTCCCGATCCTCCTTTGTCTGGACTTAGAAGCCCCGGGGCCGTAAATTACAGAGGTGAGCTTGTACACTTAGCATTTATGCCACATTTCAATATTAGTATATGTTTCCAAATAGAATAGCTGTATTGGAACTCATAACCATTATATAAACATTTCATTTTGTAAATATCAAAGTGATGTGTTTCTCACAAATTTTTAAAATTAAATATAAATTAGGGCCTAGTCTGTTCAATTTAGTTAGCCTACTAAGTTAAAGACACCAAACACACTAAGCCCTACTTAGATATTTTTAATTGAATTCTGCATGTACCAATGAAAATGACCAGGGCCTAGGCCTATCATGTTATCAGATTCTAGACAAGCTCAGATCCCTGAGGCATAGGCCTAGGTTATAAAGTTCGCTGAGGATACGATTCCGATAACCGAACGTGGATTAGGCATCCAGCAGTTACTGTCATAACCATACCGGTACCTAACCAACCAAACTTGCTGAAGAAATGGAATTCAAAGCAAAATCTTTAACAAAAAGTTAAGATTACCGATGGGGATTCGACTCAGGGACCTCTTGCATATCAGCCGAGCGCTCTATCCACTACACCACGAACACTGCTGTGTGTGCATCGTATCGTTGTGGTAATGGCGTTCCAGGCCCCCACAACCCGGTGACGTCAAACTGCCCTACGCCTAATCCACGTCCGGTTCCACGTCTGGTTTCCGGACGCGTATCCTCCGTGTATAAAGTTTAGTTGTCTTGTACCTAGGCCTAACTTACATTTTGTCAACTTATTTTTATAATTAGACCTAAGCAGTGCTTATGGGCACCGTAAGTTACAGTACTGTACTGAGTTGGCAAATTTTAACCAACCTTCAATGAGAAAATGTATGTAGTAGCCTGGACACTGTGTTCTCAGCAGAGAAATCACAAATCACAGAGATTTTTGCATGTCAACCTTGTTTTGTATCCAAGCAACCCCGAAAACCCCAGTGCAATTTTAACTTTAGACCTAGGCCCCTACCCTTGTTTTTAGTTAACTTAAAGTTCTTAAAGTAGCCTAGGCCTAACGTTATTTTTAAACAAGGAAATTTTTTTTATTTGTGCAAGGCTAAGGCTGATTTAAATTGGCCTGGTCTAATTTAATATGATTTTGTGATTTTTATTCTGTATTTTTGTGAATATTCTTGCACAACCCATCAAGTCTCAAATAGAAAATTGGTGGCATGACACGACAAAGTCTTAGACTCAATGGGTCTTTGAATCTAAATTGGAAAGTTAATTTAACTTCATTAGGTACCGGTACCTAATTGAATTGTCTCCCTATGCGACAGAGAGGTCTCCCCCCTCAACACTAGTAATCCTCAACTCACCAAAGTACTGCAGCATTTACGGATATGGGATTTCCACTCCAGTATTCGAAGGTCAACATCCGCAAAGTCCAGGTCCCCCTCCACTAACTTATCATTTTACAGCGCTACATTCACACAATCAGGAAAAAAAGGATGAGAGACCAAATGCATTGGGTCCCAACAGAAATAGACGTTTGATTATCAATCAACCAGTAAATTTACAAATACCCCCGCCCCATCAAACCTGCAGACTAAGTTAACCTGCAAGAGGTCGCATAGCTGTCTAAATGACAGGGCGTAAAGATTATATAATTATTGATTGTCGGTATTGTCAGCCTTTACTGTGTATAACACACCACACTCCAGGAACACTGTGACATACTTTTTGCCATCCTTCATCTCCTAATTTCAGTCTAGTAACTGCTTTTTGTCATGTACTGGTCGATTCCACCATGTGCGTCTCCTATTGTTTTAGAATTACCGGACAATAAGACAGTGTGCGACTCCTCGTGGTTTGTAAATAAATGCTTATTCTTCTTTGAATTTTTGATTGGCTACAGTTTTAATTCACTAGGCTACCATGTGCTGGGCCATAGAGAAGTATTTATGTACCTCGCAGTGGTTAGACGTGGAATCTAACAAGTAAGTTAAAGTATAGGATTGATAGTCCATCATCATGTTGAGAGAAATGAGGATGTTAAATGTTCAGTGTGACACTTTGAGGAATATTTTCTATGGCACCTTTTCAATGAAAAATTGAGAGACGTGAAAATATTGATGATAAAATGATTAAAACGATGATATTGGCCACAATTTTAACCCGCTTTGACTTTTTAAAGGCGTTCGACTGCATATACCATCTTCGCCATCTTGTTTTATTGCTCTAACTGGATTGAGTCCTATCTGTCTGAATGTCAGCAGTGGTTCAAAGTCGGTGACAAATGTTCTGCTTGGGAGCAGACTACTAGAGGGGTTCCTCAAGGATCTGTTCTTGGCTCACTACTGTTCTTAACTTACATCAATGACATCACAGAACACATAAACCCAGGCCCGTTTTTGACCCTGTCAGCGCCCTAGGCACTACTAATAGTAGCGCCCCTTTGCAATATATATACAGGGTGTCCACCGACCAGGAAAACCGGGAATCCGTGAATTATGCTTGAGTTTTTTTGAACCGGGAATTATGCATGAATTTTGTATATCCAACTGGAATTTTCAATTTACTGCCATCACGAATAACAACAGTGATGTTTCCGTGACCGCGGTAGACGGCAATATGTCTACACACGGCCGCGAGGGTTTATCAGAATTTTCCGCTGTCCCAGAAGACGTTGGTGATATCTACAGAGCCGCGGGGGATGATCAGAATATTGCCACGATCACGGAAGGCGATGATAATGTCCACACGAACGCAGAAACAGCAAGAATTTTGCCGCAATCGCAGGAAACAATAATTACGATGTCTTCACGACCATAGGAGATGATTAAGATATCTACAGGACCACGGGAGATACAATAATGATTTCTACACAATAAAATGCCACGATGGCGCAAAACAATTATAATGCCCACATGACCGCAGGAAAAGATCAGAAATTATATGTTATATTGCCGCGACATGGAAGGCAATAATTATGTCTAGACACGACCGTGGAAAATAGTAAGAATTTTGCCTCAATTGCGGGAGACAGTTACTATGTCTACACGGCCGGGAGGGATTATAAGAAGTTTACTACAATCATGCAAATACAACGGCAATTTTTTGTTTATTTTCCAATTTCTTGGCGCCCCGCAAAAAAAGCCAATTTCCTCGTGCCCTAGGCACGTGTCTACCGTGTCTATTCGGTAAATCGGCCCCGTATAAACCCACTCCACCACCCGTGGGCTGACGAGTTACAGATTCACTCCCACTTCAATTTAGACAGGTATTCGCAGTATCAAACATTTTGCAGAGTAACTTCCTCTGAACTTTAAAATTATGTGAGTAAAAACTCTCATTTTGACTCATTTCAACAACCGTGACATGGTGACCAATGACATGACTACTGATGTTTCCAGCAGGCTTTAGTGAGCACAAAATTCCTGTGTTAGGCTACTTAGATTCATATTTTCCCTAAGACGGTGTGAACATGCTGCACCCAATTTCAAATTACCGTACTTTCATAAATGAAGCTAAACGAACTTTGTGAATCCACAACCTCCGTCTTGTGCCATATCAATTCCAAAATATTTATCTGATAACGTTCATTTAATTTCATTTAACTTTAATAGGCTTACTTTAATACATATTCACCTGTGCCACTGTTAGAGGTTTTTATCTTTTATCTACACCCATTCACCACTCAACGGTTTATTATAAATCTTTCTTGGTATGTTTCCAATATAAAATTCTCTTCCTGACCACATAAAAGCTAGAGTAAACTGTGTAAGGTTTGGGGCAGAGATCAAATCCGTTATTTTGAGGAGCAGGCATTAGTCTTTGGTGCTGGTGTGATGCATTGTTAATGGCTTGTATTGTGTTGATAATTCTATTTAGGGTTACCGTAGGCCTAATCCGTTTCATCATTTAATCATGTTTATAGGTTTATAGTATGTCAATTTAGATTCAATTTTTTTTTTATTAAGATGAATAGTTTTAGGTTATGTTTTAGAGGAGTGTTAGAGGACTTGTTAGTCCTAACTTCGCCTCCCAAATAAAGAAAATTTTAATTATTTCTCCGTCTCTTATAAACATATTTTTTTCTACCTTTCATTCCAAGAAAGGTTCTTTAAAATATAAAAAAAATTACAAATTATTAGCTTTTTCCTCATTAACCCTCCGAGTGTTATGTGTCGTAAAAGCGACTCATAACACATCCGCTGTAGTGTTATGTGTCGCTTTTGCGACTCACAGACACTGTTTACTGCGACGGCTCTGGGACTGTCTGAATCGGATTGAACTGGATCGAGTTAGGTATCGTTTTTTTCAGCAGATTCAGAGCTTTCTCCTAATGTCTGTTTCTATACGCTTTTCATTTTAGTTTCGGAATATTGTAGCAGACAGCTGACGTGCATATTTGTAAACAGCTTGGTTAATCAAAAGTAGTGATATACGTGGTGCATTATAAGAAAATTTAAATGATTTTGAAGGGCTGGTTGATGATCCTGAAGAAGTAGGTAGTGATATTGGTGTAAATTATCAGCCAGATTCCTAGCTATGGTTAGGCTATGCATTCTTAGCTAAACGCTATGTACGGAAATCTGTTTTTTGCCCATAACTTATTTATTTGCAAACCTACTTCCTTATATTATTATATTTTTGGAATCCTCATACAATTCTGAACAAAGTGGCTATTTTAAAATATTTGTAGACCTATAAATTATAACAATTTATTGAGCGCAAACATAAATTTTTTTCATTTATTTTATAATTTTTGAGAAATGTTAACCCCACAAAAATTGTTGAAAATTTTTTTTGTTATGTTTTATATGTTACATTGAAGCCATAATTTTCCAAACAAAATGATATATAAAACAGTATACTTTACATTGTTTTTAAGTTGCTAAGATACATTTTAATAAAACCCTGCGATTGCGCAATAAATGGGCGAACATTAAGACCAAAACTAGAGACACTTGGAGGGTTAAGGCTTTGAACCTCTCTACTAAAAGGTCGCCATCTGCCACTATCGTCAATTCATCCCTAATTTTGCTTTTCTCTAATAATGAACCAAATAATCTATTGTATTCTAGAACAATTAGACTATTGTTGTACTGATATAGGTAAAAGCAAGAGGCTAGAGTACCTGAGCACCATCAGAAGAACTGCTTCCCTGGACACTATTTATCTGATGGGTCAGTGGCCGAGAGACATGTACAGTGGACTGCTGCAAGTCGACAAAGCAACTCAGGTAGGCACACAAAACAGCACTGAGTAGCTAAGGAGTCACTGTCAGTAACAAATGCATTTAATCATATCACACTAACTAATTGCCGGATAGTTGAGTGGATGTTGCTTGCATAGGCCTAATCAAATGGTTACCGGTTCAATACTGTCAACAGCTCATCATATCATTCACTCATCATTCATATTTTCCTTAAAATACCACATGCACAAAATGTAGGCTATGGTGTGTCGGCGTTGTCGGCCTATAGAAGACCACAATTAATCTACAATAGAAAAATGAATCCACCTCTAGCATGAATTCATGCTTTATCTAGTTGCTATGTACTGTTAATCGTCATATTTCTTTACCATGAATAAAACTTCCATGTTAAAACAAGTGAATGTTGTAGACTGAAGAAACTATGGGAGATCCGAGAAAAGCTCATCGCCATTGTGAAACTCCTTCTAACGAAGACAAGCTTGAGAAATACATCAGACACAGGTACTTTTACTAATTTTCAATTCAAACAAATTTTATTAGGTGTAAACATGAAATAAACCCAAGTTTAGTCCAAAAAGTAAAATGATTTTCTTATTTGACAGCAATTTGTAACCCTTTTGCCAATATAATGTAGAACACGAGGCAAGTACACCTGGCAAAGCCTTACAACCTAAATTGGAACCAAACAAAACAGATGTGCAAATTTGGCACTCCCAGGGTTTGCTGTTGTGAAAGTGTTTTACCAAGTTGGCTACTTTTCAATGGTGATATAATTTTGACGTCCATTCATAACACATAATGTGAGGCCATTAAGATACATTTAGCATTGCATTTTAATCATGCAGTGCAAGACCAATACTGGAATCTTATAAATGGTGTATGGTTTACGTTACACACTATAAGTCATAAGTATACAAGAATTGTTTTTATATTTTCTTAGAAATAGTAATATTGTCCTTCATAAGAAAATGCCACACAATTCTATGATAAATATTTCCATTGTAAAATTAGCCTTAGTTTTTTACCAGTTAAATAGTACTAGGAGAAAACTGTGTGCTTTGTACCCAAACATAGAAATAGAAAAAAAATCTTTTGTGTCTTTGAAAAGGTATTTTAATTTTTAGGCAAGAATTTTGTGTTTTTTTCACATCATAGATCAGTATTATTAACATAATTCGTCCCTGTTGTTCTATGCTATTATTGAATTGTCTTAAATCCATGTTCTTTTCCTCATTACTAACTAAAACACTTTTTAGACAGCAGTTATTATTTTGAATTTATTAAAGCTTTTCATCTCAATGTTGAAAACAATCATGTGTTATTTGTTTATATTATATAAAAGGCCCACTATCTCTCAAAGTTTATGATTATCTTTTTTATCTGTTAAGGCTCCAACGCGTGGGGTCGAGCCGTGAACGGACTGCAGCCTTTGGTTTGATGCTGGCTCCAATTGGCTCCACGGAGCACGGGTCTCAGACAGCCACGCCTCCACCGTTCTCTCCCCCCGGCCGCAGCAGAGCTCCGATGCGAAGCTCAATAGAAGGGCTCAACCAGGAGATAGAGCGACTCGTACTGCGAGCCACATCCACTCTGAGCACGGAGCGTGAGGAAGAAAAGGTGGGGATTTCAAACATAAGCATCAGCTGAAGCATTTGCTGAAGGTTAAACATTTGGCTACAGATAGAACGAGATTCTATAGTGATATCTGCATAAAATAAAACACCGCTATATGAATGAAAATGTTTATATCTTAAAAGAGAAACAAAACAAAACATTTTAACAATAAATATTTTTAGCCAGTTTTAGAATGTAATCATAGTTGAATTAAAGCCCATCAGGGTGCGTTGATGTAAATTACTAATTTTATACTGAAGTGAACTCTCTCTCCAATTGACCCATTCAACTAGGCCTATATAATTTTTTAACACGCTCGCTACAGTATATTTATGCCTGCGTTTAGCTAGGATTGGGTGCTTTATTGTGGTGTAGCCTGGAAGTAAATATCACCGTAATATCCTCTTCTGGCAAGTTTAGAAATTGACTTGTTGTCCCGTCTTTCTCCCCCCAATTGGCAATACAATGGGACCGGCTAGCTCCAGACAGTGCTGCTATCTGTGAGTGTTTCGACTGTCTCGACTCTCCTCGTAACCACAGAAAGCACTCAGCATAGCAACGTTGGTGGCGCTGCCTACGATTGACAGGCAAAGCTCTCTCAAAACACTTAATGCTTTTTACCATGCGGTTGGCATTCTGGGTTATAGTAGTATGTTTTCTGTGTCGTAAAGCAGAACATCACCATTCGCAATTTCTATTTGAAGCATTTGCTATTAGTCTGGCCTGATATATTTAAAACCCAAGTGGGTTTGCTTGACGCTGTGCAGCACCGGGGCTATGCCTGCCATTGGTGGGTCGCAGCAATTGTGTTAATAAAACATTGGTTACAGCTGTTCGTTATAGTTGGGTAACTGCTTCAGTATCCAAAAATCAATTGTAAAAAGTCAGTAGTATAAACAAAAATGTTAACTGATTAGAGTAATTGTGGTCGTAAAAATACAACTGTAGAAAACTTATTAGATTCAATTTTCTGCCCTCCTGAAGCTTATGTTGCAAAGTACTTTTTAGATTGTATGAAGGGAAGAGGAGTTACAATTTCATTTCATAGTGAGTTTATACAAATATGCAAAAAACCCTTAACTTCCACTTCCAAGTTATGAACCTAAACTATTTATGTGAACAAGCATTATATAGTAGATTTTTTTCAATGACTACATTGTTCTTGACCTTGCGTGGAAATAAAACAACTTTACGCATGTATTGATAATAGCAGGTTTTGCTGCAGTGTGATTAAAAGCTTTTTTGTCATACCGTAGCAAAAACAGCAGTTTTTAATACATGCGTTGCAGGTCTAAAGTAGCTCTTTTACTCCCTAAAAAGTTTCTTTTAGACCCTCGCTAGTATCCGACCTCAGCTTTACCTCAATCGTGAAACTTGAGTTTGGGTCAAAAAGAGTCACTTTAAGCCCTAGTGATGACATATACTATTTTTATAACTATGAGCATATCCTCTTAATTAATTTAAACAGGTAATTATGAATTAGTATATTTTTGAAGTCTTAAGTCTAAGTAAGTTTATTTAACATAGAAGTATAGTAATGATAGTCCCTGTGTGCTTTGTTAACAAGGACCTCAACTTGTTTCAGTTGCAGCTTGTACATCAAGCTACTCCTGAAGGTCATCGTGCTCCACTAGCAGATCTACTCCGCTCCACTCGCTCAGTCAACACACAGACTCCGGCCTTTAGTTCTCACTCTTCAGGTATAGTAACACAAAACCTTAATTTATGATCAACTGGTTGTTTCAAACCATTGAAGTCCAATGGTTAGTGGTTAGTCTTTAAATTTATCTTTCATCTTACAAGATTTCTTGTCTCATCCAGCTGAGTGCTTATATTTTATCTTTCAGGTTAAGTTAAGGCAAGTTACAGGAGCAAAGCGTAGACTGGAATGATGGCTGGACTCGCTCTAAATCTCATTTGTCATGCCTCACTAAATTCATTACTTGAAGTTGGAAATGTCTTGAATTATTAAAATCTTCAATTATGTCTGATCAAATACTTGAGAAAACATCAAGGTACTGTAATCTAAGTTATTATAAAACAAATAATTTTATGTTCGACATAATATTAAACAGCCAACTTTAAGTTTTAAAATGAACTGCATATACAGTACTTCCAAGTCCAACACCACAAGTTGGCTGATTTGAGAAACCCACAATTGTTTATCTCGTGAATACTTTTAATAATACATTAGGCCTATCTTGGTTAATTTTCATATTATTCATAAAATTTCTATTTTCAAGTGTTGCATTCAGCAAGGTTGTGGCTCATGAGATTTACTGTGAGATCAGCCATTCTTCTGTTCTGGCCCTACGGTTAGGGTAGTTTGCCCCAACTGAGAAAGGGTATAGGCTCTTTCGTGTTAGACAATAGACAAATTCTTGATTGAAATATTCCTAGAGAACATTCATGCATTAGGTACAATGATTACAATTATTTGCAATTACAATTAGTGTTTTTTAAATTATTTTTAAAGTAGTTTATTGTTTAGGAATTCATCCTCTGAGTAGAATGGCCGGTCCATAAGCCATATTGTCAGGTGCTTCTGGAACAGTCTGGGTTTTCTCTCTTTTGGTGCTCTGGTAGGTTGTTAAGGTAGAGAGCACCTTTGTGGGTGACATGTATCTGCTTAAATAATGATTTTGTATTTTATCGCGTCACTCCCAAAATTGGTTGTTCCTTTTGTATTTAAGTGTAATTTCCATTACAGGACCTCCTTCTCGGGAGTCTGGATCACCTCTAGTGGTCGGCAACTTTGAACTGGCTTCTCGTCCTTCAAGTGACTTCCAAGGTAATATAACTTTCTAAAGTCTGAATGAAATTTGTTTTGGATTTTTACATTGATTTGGAAACTAGGTAGGTGACATGTTTGTTAATTTTTTCTTCTAGAATTGATGCATTGGCTACAATAACATAGGTTAACCCGAGCTTCATTGCTCTAGTTTTAAATCTGATTGAACACACATTAATGGCACAAATAACATTTAAACATTACAACAATTACAATAATTAGTTACACAAATCATTGAACAATAAATAACAATATACTAAGGCTACATATTTTTACTGGTCGGCCAAACAAAACAAAAATATTTTAGTTAGTTAACAAAACCATCCTGAGTGGTCATCACAATTTATTGGTTTTATAAGGTCGCAACACGACTCATAGAGGATAGTCGATTACAAGGTGTTTACCAATGTCATTGATTTTGTTATGAACCATCCATAAAGTAAAGAATCTTTAATCTCTTACTAATTTAGGTGACTTTACTTTGTTGTGGAATGCTACGGACAAAACATTTGTAAAGTTACAAAGTATCAAATTTCAGTAGATTTATGAAGGTTAAGTGTGAAATGATAATTTTTCGTCTGTAGGAAGTGGTGATTCCTCCCCAGAACAAGACAGTAGACCGGGAACTTCTCCTCGAATCAACAAATTTCTCGCACGAGAACCTCCAGATGGCTGTGAACGAGTTAGCCTCAAGTTCTCAGAAGATGTCAGGTAAAAATAGCCTATGAAGCATATCTGGTGGTAGACAGAATACTTTTATTGCTGAAATCCATGTTCAAATAAAATAAATTTTGACTTTTGACATTTTTGTAAAGGATAACTAATTGTGGTTAGTATCAAAAATTGTATGGCACACGTTCTGCATATTATCAATATGCCTTCTTTCTAGCTAATGAAAATGATGTCTTAACTCTGTGGTTCAGAACACTCTTTTAGTTGTTTGTTCACCTATTTAGAAGACAAAAAACATTGTAGGGAAGGAAAACTTTCTCACTATTGAAAAACACGCTCACAATTAAATTATAATATGAAAATAGATTTTTCATAGGATAGTCCAATAGTCAGGTTGAAAATTGGATCTGGAGACATCTTTATGTACAACTTCAATATTTTTTTGGTTGAAAATGGTGGTAAAATATTCCAACTTTTGTGTAGTGTAAAGTTTCTATTTCTTGAGCCATAGTGAACTCTTTCCCATTCAGATTAGCCGGCTTTCATGACAAAAATTCCTACAACCTATGGCCCTTGTGCTCTTTAATCCTTAACACACAACACGAATACAAGAACGGACACGGTATGGATCATTAACTTACTGGCCCGAAAGTAAACATTATTTAAAGTTACCTGAATGGAACTATCAAAACCACGTTAATGTTATTAGTATAGGATTCGGGCCAGTTATGTCATTTGTTTATGTTCATGATCCATACCGGTTTCTGTTCTAATTCAAGAGTATAACCTTCAAGTAGCAGCTAATTGTCTGTTTGTTTGCAGTAACCGCAAGCCTATGCTGGATCTGAGCCTGATGGAGCTGTGTCCCATCAAGCCAAGCACCGCGTGTCAGTTTAAGCCTAGCCTCGGGTCAGCGTTCATGCCTCTCAGTCGGCCAGTGGCCACGTCAGCCACCACTTCTCACGATCCTCCCTCCCAACTGTAAAACATCTGTGAGTACAGTATAGGCCGATGTCAAAATACTATTCAATTATCATTTTGGATAATTTATACAGGGTGATTGGTACTCAGTGTGACAAAAATTTTTTGGTGTAAGTACAAAGTAAATGAAGTGTGATGATGCATATCAAATGTTCCAAGTCTCAAAATTAGCTTCCCAAAAAAATATTTTATGTTTTTCAAAAATAACCATGCTTTTAAACTTAATACAGCGATTTCTCAATTACCTGTATATGGATTTGAGTAGATAATGCCATTTTTGTGTTCTACATTAAATTTTGAACAAGAGTAATGGAAAATGACGGAGCATCAGTTGTAAAAACTCCATTATAAATAGATTCAAAGATAAAAATTAAGATGTTTGACAAAGATTTTAAAAACAATGGTCTATTGCATTTTTCACACCCTGTATACAAGAAAATGTTGGAATATGTTAAAAACTGCGCCATTTTATAAGCTTTCCAACCATATGCTACACTATTGAGGTTTAGATATTTTTTTGTTTGTTTTTGTGGTTTGAATACCAAAAAACAGGGAACTTTTTTACTGTTTTTACTGTTCAAGCTAAAACAAAAATACAACTTTTGCTTAATACATGCCAACTTTCTATGTTTTAAATGTTAAAGACACCATGCTTTGTAGTCTTCAAACCATTAAAACCTACATAAGCAGACATAAACCTCAATAGTGTAGCATATGGTTGGAAAGCTTATAAAATGGCACAGTTTTTAACATAGTCCGACACTTTCTTGTATACAGGGTGTGAAAAATGCAATAGACCATTGTTTTCAAAATGTTTATCAAACATCTTAATTTTTATCTTTGAATCTATTTACAATGGAGTTTTTACAACTGATCCTCCGTCATTTTCCATTATTCTTGTTCAAAATTTAATGTAGAACACGAAAATGACATTATCTACTCAAATCCATATACAGGTAATTGAGAAATCGCTGTATTAAGTTTAAAAGCATGGTTATTTTTGAAAAACATAAAATAATTTTTTGGGAAGCTAATTTTTAGACTTGGAACATTTGATATGCATCATCACACTTCATTTACTTTGTACTTACACCAAAAAAATGTTGTCACACTGAGTACAAATCACCCTGTATTATTTGGCCATTAATGAATGACTAAATTCTCTCACTGAATGCTCGTTGCTCTAACATAGAAACCATACAGCCAGTAAACATTTCTTGTCATTTTATTTTTGGATTGCTTTTCTATAGTTGATTCTTGGTAAGATAAAATATAATTTACTGAAAGTTAATCCATTGAGAAGATTACTTGTGTACTTTCTTCTGATGCTGATTATATTTTGCAGGGCGAAAACGAAAATACAGAACTCCAGTTTTGTGTAGCCGGCATCACTTAACAGTACAATAATAATTACCTTCATAGTTTTAGTTAACAATGGTTGAATTGAAGTGGAACTAAAGTTCTACTTTGTTCGAGCTTAAATTGTTATTCCATTATTATAGTGTTTTGTATTTTGTATAATTATATTAGCACCTTTCAGTCAGAGGGGGTATCATGGATTGAGTTTTTTTTTTAACAATTAGAGATTTTGATGAAATGATGGTCGGATAGTATCAGATACTATGAATTATTGTTACATCATCTTAAAATGAGAATTATATAATTGGAAAAGAAAATACAGGGTTTTGGTTAGTTCTGAAAAGATAATTTTCTATCACGGGTATAGTTAACTACAGGTAGACTGTTTGTTTTAATAACATATTTAACACCTATTCAAATGACTTTCTAAAATGTTCGTAGGCAGTAATATAGCCTAATTTTTGTTTTATTCTTGTATGTTTATCTCAAGATATCATGAGCTCCTCTAACCATATTGTGGAGGTGGAATTGATGATTATGATTGAAGTCTAGACATGGCAAATATTGAAACTGTCAACCAATAGTTTTCCTCTAACTTTTTACCATTATATTTGAACAGTTGAACAGTGATGCCTTGTTTCGTTTTGTTTTACGACTAAATAGTATGCAAGTTAGATAAGCATTTTTCTGTAGATTTGTTCTTTAGTCCTTCAAATTTATATTAACTAATTACAAAGATCAAACATTTATTTATGTAAACATCCATGATCCCCATCCCTGGCTGAAAAAAATTGAATGAACTGAATTTCGCTAAGTTGCTCTGTACTTATATAGCAATGTTGTTACTGTTGCTTAACTTCAAAGTGCGTTTAACTAGAGTATGTATGTTTTGCAGAATTGTTGCAAGTACATGGTTTATTCTGTAAAATCTGGTTATCGTTGGATTATGATTATTTAAATGTTGTATTCAAGAGAAGATAAAATATTTTTTATGTGATATACAATATTTTAACTTCTCTGGGAACTAAATACTTTTTCCAAAAAAAAAATTGTCAACAAAAGACCCAAATGTTGAAACACCTTTTCTTAAAATTTTGGACATCAGGAATTTAAAAGTTTCATGACCACTGAAAATAAGTAATACAGTTTTTTTTTCCTTTGAAAGGTTCAGTTATTCATTGATCAACTATTTATTCAACACTTCAATGGCGAAAATGCCCATATTCATGTACTAATTTAAATTTACTATGTACTGCAACAAAATTTGACCATAAAAATGGCAATCTAACAATTAAATGCACTTTGAATTTTGTACAAATATGTTTGTTACTGTCTGATTTTAAGATGACGAATTATACTTGTTTGTAAAGTGTTTCTTTGGAAGGCAGACAGAGTATTTAAAATGTTATTTTAAACATTTGAAATGTCGATGTAATGGTACTGTTCAGTCATAATGTGTCTTTAATTAGATGTAAGAAAGTGACTTGTTACCTCAGCCAGCAGCTGTTTGTTATACGTTGTAAATCCTTGAAAACCTCTAGATTCCATTATAAATTTTGCAGTATGGTTTTTTTTTGTTTTGCAGAATTAAAAGCACTTGTCATTGTGACATTGAGTTAGAATGAACAGATATCTCAACTGACTCTAAAGGGAATAGTTATATGCAGCACACAACTTATTAAACTCGATGTTTCACCTCTTCTAAAAAGGTTTTTGCTGAAAAATATGTAGAATGGGAGTTGGGTTTCTAGGTCAAAACTGCTGCGGCAAATCCAAGCTCAGAATTTTTTTCCTTGTATAAGTTATTTGTAAATTTGTTCCTCTATATTGGGATAATAGTTTTGTAAAAGGTTAGCGGTTCATATGTAATAATACATCATCAAATACTATTCCACCTTGATACTGTTTGCATTCAATTTATTGTTATCACTTTATTACGTCATACATTATGGCTGCTGGCAGATGGGCCGGTTCAAGACTGTCTACGTAGGGTAAATAAGTTACCTTGCTGTATTGTATTGTAATAGCTATGCTCCATGCTCTAACTATAGTGTTTATCAGGTACCTAGGAAAAATGGTTGTTTCTGACCTAGTGGTTCTAGATGAACGGATGTATGATTGGCAAAGTTTGTGTGTGTTGCTAGCATCAGAGTTCCTTGCAAGAGGGGTTCACACCGTCTAGCATATTCACTAGAATTTAAAGGGTTTGTAAGTTTTTAAGTATTTTAGTTGATCTCTTTGCAAAATGCCTCCGGTGTAGATAAAACTAATAACTAAATCACTACAGACAGACATGCAATGCTATACTGTTGACAAAGTGGATTTAAATTGTTTCCCCTACCCTAATGCAAACCTAAAAAGTAATATTCTCAAACTATTTTGTAACAATTTTTTCAAAATTTATTAAAAATCAAATAGGACTATCTAAATATTTTTTAATCAACTGACACTGTTTCAGATAGATACTTAAAGACTTCCTGTTAATGTAAAGGAATTTTACTGTTCTCGAAAGTACTATTTATTTATTTTCTAAATCCAAGTGCTAACACCGAGAACTTTTTCTTCCAATGAGGAATCAGTCAGAATGCTCCCTGTGAAAACATGGCTTTTATCCAACCAACGGTGAAAGAATATTTCAAACTAGTCAGTCTTAATCGAGAATACTCTTAAATTTTATCCTAAAACGTTTGATGTGCGAGACTAGAACCACTACGCAGGATGCAGTCTCATCACTATCTTGTTTGCACTGTTGTCAGTAGTTGGTGGATGCCTTAATTCTATTATGCCTTAGTCATGGTTATGTTCTGTATTATGCTCATTTTATACACCCTTGCTCAATTTCATGGTTGATTATAGAATATTCAAACATTCTTGAATACCAATTTGTTTTAAACAGTTGTTGAGAAATTTATGCCCAGCAAGAATTACTTTGGTCTTCTTTATTTTGATCCTCATTTATTTATCATACTTCAATAAAACAACAAAACACTTCTCACTACATTGAACCTCAGAATTAATTTTCATCTCTCCGTTCATCATTAAAATATTATATTATAACAAATATTTATCCAGTTTGAGTAGTTGAGTTACTTCATACCTTTCATTCTTATAAGATTTATCTATTGTTAATTATTATCTAAAGACGTAATATTCCAATGTGTTAAAATTATTTGGCTAATTCACCACAATGCGGTAGGGTATAAGAAGTTTTAAACTTGTTAAATGTTTTCAACATTGGTGTAAAGAAAACATCAAATAAACTATTGAAGGAAGTTACACTAGTTTTTGAGTAGTTTGTCAATATTATCACCAAACTTAAGACAGTCTCACCCCTTAAAATTTGACTGACATATATATTGTTTTAAGAATTGTTAGGATCCAAAAGAACTAAAACCCGGTGTATAGTCAATGGTAACTGACTTTAATGTCCCTGTTTAATTTATTACATCTACATCTAAGATTGCTCTTAAACAAGTTGATTTCTGAATTATTTACATTGTTCTATTATGAACGAATAATGTATATAAAAGATAATTATTTGGTATTACAAACAAAGATTTGTAAGAGTTACTTTGTGAATGTTTTGATTGATTTTAATGTATAGTAAATTGTGTGTTTTAATTTGGTCGTTTAGTATTTCTCATTGATAAAGGTTGTTTGTAATTTGTTATTTTTAAGAATTTCATGTTTGCAATGATTTAAAACCAGAATTAGCTCACATTGTCACATACAAGAATGCTAATTGCTAATGAATTGATTATGTCAATACTCCCATCTTCATTTTGATTTTAAATTATTACAAAGCCAGTCATGTGGAATCTACTTAGGTTTTTACTACCTATGTGTTTTAGTCAGTTTAATTTGAAGGCATGGTATGGGTATTTCTTGTTTGTAAAATTGCTTTTATGTAACTAACTATTCATGCAAATTACTTATCATTTTGTTATGATAAAAAATGTAATACAGTTTTTAAAACACAATGGAAGCTTCTGTATGCGATGAAATGAGTTTATGAACATTACTGCCTAGTGAAAATCAAAAGCTTTTTACTGCCATGTTTGTTTGTTGGTTAATTTAAGGTTTACTGCCTGAATGTTAAATTATCTTGCGTATATTTATTGGAATGAGAAACTTAAAAAACTAAATATAAAGGCGTATCAGTGGGAGTTTACTATGCCCGGCTATTGATTGATTATACAATTTGCCTTACATAATATTAACTTGTTGTATTTGTTGAAGATAAACCCTTACTTGAGCTAACCAGAGGTGTTGTTGATATTTATTGTTTCTAATCAGTTTTCCCCTCAGTTACTATTTACTCTATTTCCTCAAGTACAAAATTTGCCACAGAAAGAGTAAATTGCAAATACAGTACTTTGATTTATTTAAACATATTAATCCTACAATATCAAACAATATTGTAAAAACAAATGCCATAGGCAATTGTTTAACTATTGGAAGACAATTTTAAAACCAAACCATAATGAGTTATTTGGGTTTTTTCGTTCTGAAGTTAAGATCAGTACAACACTTTCAAGAAACAAATATGATATCCCGGTTAAGGTGGGCTACCAAGAAATGCAGGGGTTTTCAGACGTATAATAGTAACTGAGGATGGATTTTATATCCTTGCCCAGGCCTTGTAATTCAATTCTGATTTAAAATTTCAATTATATTACCTTAAGCAAGGGTCATATCCTTGTATGATCCTCTTGTATCACCTAATTCCTGTTTTACATTCCCGTTAAAATTTTACCCTATATTCATAAGAAGTATGATGTAGTACTAAGTATTTGTTTTACAGTATTAGGTATAAATGGACTTTATACTCAAGAATTTGTTTAAATCACTGTTCTTATTTTTTGAATAAATAATTTTTTAGAACGTTGAATGGAAGCGTAATGATGATAGAGACGGTATGTTTGGTTTTATATGTGATCCTATTGGCGTCTAGGTATGTTTACATACAACGGTCCGTTTTGTAGCAGAGGTCTGATTGTATATATTATTCAGACCAGTTTTAATGTGAAAACCAAAAGTACAAGTGTATATATTGTTGACTTTCGCTCAATCGAGTTTGATTGTGATTATGATCAAAAGTTGTACAAATTCTTGAAGCAGTCTCGATGCCGTTTACCCTTTGTTATTTAAGTCACTGCGACATTGTACAGGTAGAAAAAAACTATTATTTTTTGTAACTCCCTTATTCTATCGGAATAAAAATGCAACAATAACTGTTTGATTTCATTTAAGCAATCCTAGATCTCCACACACTGTAGGTTTAAAACTGCAAAAAGAGTAAAACTCAATGTAATTTGTCAATGAAAACTGTAGGTATTTAAGCTGTTGCTTAGACCAAGCATTGACAAACTGCTGTGAAAGCGGTTGATACCAATACATGTATTGCAGTGACAAAGTACAGTAGTCTATTTATGTTTAGGTTAAAATTAAAAAGAAATAAGCTGAAGTGAAGTGATTAAAAAATTCTTCTTGAATCAACTAAAATATTTTTTTGAACTTGCATCTACAGGGTGTCTCACGAGAGGTGTCTCAAATTGATTACGGAAAAACGGCTTAACGTACAAGGATGAAATAAAATTATTTCCCGCTAAATCGACCCCAAGGAATAACGTAAAAATATTTTTAACTTTTTCCCAATACAGGGTGTGCCAAAAACTGAGGGTCACTAGTTCGAATCTCGGAATTTTCAAATGTAAACATATGTCATGTTATACATCATTTTAAAGGTATTTGATAGACAAACATTTTAGCGAAAACAGAAATTAGTTATCTTTTTCCGTTTCAAAATGGCGGCAGTTATTTTGGAAAAAATCTATATATTTTTAATACTCTG